AACAGCAACCACAAAATCCATACAACAGCCACAACTATAATAGACACTAAACGCATACAAGTTCAACAATAGTGACATTAAAGAAAAATTAATAATAATAAATGGCTACGGTTCCATTTATAACATTGCTATGTGTATCATATGATGGCAAAGCTAAGAGGCATAAGTGATGATGTACTGCAAGGTTTATTCCATCATTATTCCTTATCTCCAGCAAACACTTATCTCCATCTAACTGACTGATGAGCTTGGTAACGTATCTAAATATGTTCTGTTATAGCCCTATTATACCATATAGTGGAAAATTTTCGTGGCCCAAAATTTTCGCGGATTTCGCGTTTTTTCAAAACCAACAAAAATAAAATCCACGAAAATTGATTTTATACGATTTAAGATGGCTGAATTGTAGAAAACCATGAAAATTAAAACCACAAAATTGATTTTTGGACAAATCCACAAAAATTTTGGGCCACGAAAATTTTCCGCTATATGGTATACTCTTGGTTATAGGTACATGTAGATCAGAAAATCTAATAAAAATTGTGGGTGATTTCGGAGCCATTTTTCAAAAAAAAACCATGAGCTATAGCCTTGGGTATTTTTCAAAAATTTGGAATTTTCTTAAAATGGCCGTAACTTGAAAAATTTGAAGTCAGAATTGGTTTAAACTTGCTACATAGCATAAGGATATCAATATGTATCAGAAAATGTAATAAAAATTAGAGCCATTTTTGTACATACACATGTACAAAAGTATGTACATACTTTTGTGTATAATGTACATACACAGTACATGTACTAGTGACATATGCATGTGTAATTGTGTATATGTACATATATTATGCTTATCTCTAACTCACTAGTATAGGGTCTCTTATAAAGAATATTGGTGTATTATTACCAACAAGATCCCAATTATCATCCTCAGTGTAAAACTTGACAGCAAATCCTCTTGGATCTCTCACTGTATCAGCACTGCCTGACTCACCACCTTCATTATAATATTAAAATAAAGCTATAAGGACATGTACCGGTACATTTATATGGTATACAAATTGTTCATGAGAGTAATATCTGGTAAACTACTGTATAGTCACTCTAAACTGATTAGCAGATTAGGGAAATTTGAAATTAAGCATGCTCCAACTTAATCAAAAATAGTTGATTTATGGAGCTACCAACTACCAACACTGATAAGAATATAATAATTCCTCGGAAATAAATCATCTTGTATGGGATGACAAAACACTGAACGAATAGAAAGCATTCTAAAGTGCTGTATATGTACATGTGTATGGATACTTATACATGGTCAAGTACATTTGAACTTTACAACATATAATATCAAAGAGTCATGCTTACCCACAGTTGAAAAAAAAACAGCAATTGGAGTTCTCTTGCCAACTTTATTGAACACTTTAGCTTTACAGTAATTGGTGATGTCGTGAGTCACTTCAAAATAACCAAATGCACCTAAACAGAGAAGAAGTACAACACTGAAGGAATATAGCCAAAACAAAATGAAGGGACAAAAGCAAGAAAAAAAGAGTATAAAGATGCAAGGAAGTGAAAATAATACTGTAAACCTATTAATAATTGCATGCAATAAATTCAAACCCTTAGACCTTTGCCTAATTTTTTTAAATACTGGCCATAAATATGCAGTTAACAGAATACTGGTCATTGTAAACATTGTTAAGATTAATGGACATAAATATACTCACCACAGCATAAATTGAAACGTAAAGGTCGTTAAATTATTTGGGTTCATAGTCTGTGATATGTACCTAAAATTGTACTTACATGTATGTATTTGTTACTTACCAGCTCCTATTGCATGGACTACCTCTCTGGTATTCTCTCTCTATGCCATCTCATCCAAGAACACATAGTCCTTAACAGTACTGGTCCTTTAGTACCTGCTGTCAGTGTTGCTGTCTTGCAGTCTACAGGATGACCATGACTAGTTGTTAAAATATCTGGGCTTTATAAAATTAGAAAATAAACTGCTTTGTTTAAACAATTCAGTGAATCATCATTCTAACTAAAATACATGAGAGGAGCAGATGTGGGCACCTCACTACAGCTCCAAACTTCAAAAAATTGGCAATGTAAAACGATCAAGATGCATGTCAGCATAAACCTAAAATCATTTTCTGACAATTTTTTTCACTTGCATTTAATCTCCTCTCATGCGTCTTCTTACATGATCCAAGAAGCAAGTGATTGTAGCTGGTAATTTTGGAGCCATAGATTTTTTGCAAATTTGGTATTTTGATTGCCATTTGCAAAAAATTACACGCATCATTTTGAACCTTGCTTAATGGTCACAAATTTGCCAAACTAAAACCCTCCAATCATCAAAATTTTGGCAATTTGCCAAAATTTTATCCCTCCAAAATTACCAGCTATATAATATTATACCTTTTTGCAATCATTTTACATCACACTAACACTTAAACCCAAAGGCAAGCTATTTACAAGTTTATCTCTCCGTGCAATTTCCTACTTCTCAGTCACCTTCTTGTAGGCTGCAAAGTTGACTAACTGGCTAGTAGATCCTTTTGATGCTGCCATCACTAAGCCACACCTTTGTAATAGAGGTGGGCGATACGATACCAAAGTACTCATATATCCGATACCAGGCCTCCGATACCAAGTACTCGATACCATAGATTGTATTACAATCTATGTCGATACATGTACCAAGGTAGCTTTTATAGCGGTAGTGGTAACCACGCCCCACCACACCTATTTTATGACGTCATAATTATGGCCACGCCCTTTAATAAATACAAATGGCGGGTTGTTTTGTTTCATTTTTATTAATAACTAATTATAACTTTATTTGCGCATGCGCAGTAGCTGACTACTCATTCACTACTCGATACCATCGATACTGAGACTCAGACTACTTGGTATCGGTATCGATTCAAAATTTCTGGTATCGCCCACCTCTACTTTTTTGTAATAGATTTAGCAATTAGAGGGGCCGCCCGCCTGTGAATGTTGTAGTTGCTACGTGTTGTTTGTATCATAGTCAGGTGCAGCCAAGATTTCCTGCTTTCATCATGACTTACAGTAACAGTGGTAGTCCTGTGGATTTGGCTGAAGTTAATAGCAACCTCTCGATTAAGAAGTGTTGGGACAAAGAGGAGGAGTATGTGAATGACTGGAAGCTAAGGGCGAGGAATGATGGCGTGGAATTTTTGAATCAACTATTGCAAGAGCTCTTAAGAATAAAGAGGATTGACTTAGTTGGAGAAATATTGAGCGATCCTGTTATTAAAAAATTGATACAACCAATGAAACACACCTCTACTACTCTCCTTCAATCAAAAGTAACTGAAGAAAGGAACGAGGAAGAACAAGGCTTGCTTTTACATAATAGGGAGGCACAAAAATGTAGAATGTCAACATGTCGTACTGTTACTGTCGTACTACTATCAATGCTCTTGGTCGCTTTGATCTGCTTCATTATTGTGCAAATAATTGCTTTGATTGAAGTTTCAGACATTGCTCTCAAAAAGGAAAAAGAAGCTAACAGAATAGTCGCTGAAGGTGATACCGTATCCTTATACATGTTAGATAAGGAATACATAAACACGATTCAAATATCTGAAAAAGTCGAAAAAGGTGATAGCAAGCATAGTGTTACGTTGGTTTTGGTCCCAACAGATGAACTACAATATGATGTAATCTATGAATCAGAGTCTTGGAATGCAACAGCCTATGTTCCTGATCTCCCAATTATTAATAATATCTATGTATATCTCAATACTGGGTCTAAGGTAAACTTTGACATCTGGATTGGTAATGGCAACAATAAAAAATCAGCTACACTATACATATTTGATGACATTGACAATTTGAACGACTATATCAGGTACAGTGAAGTGAAGTCACCTGTATTTACGAAGGAAATACCAATCGAAGGAAAAGATGGAAAGCGAATACCACATAATGTAATCTTTACTTCTCCAGCAGATGGCTATTACTTCATCATCCTACTAGCACCAGAAGCAAATATCCAGTTTTCGTACAACGTTAATACTACGGAGCTGGTTACTGATGTTGATCAATACACTTCTGACTACCCGTCCTGTGTGATTGATACAGAAAGGAATTGTACCCTCACAACTAGCAATGCTAAGCAACCAAGTAGTGAGAACCTTACCTTATTAGCTGCTGCATCAACCAAATACGACATCAGTAGCAAGATCACTCATGTTCACTTGAACTTTACTAATCGTTCATATTTGATGACCGTACCCAGTATCATTTTTGGGATAACAGTGGGTGTTGCATTATTGGTTATCATTAGTTTGTTAGTTATTGCACGGTATGTTGCTTGCAAGAAGAAAAGGAATCGTAGAGGATATGTCTCTATAAATTAAAGTGAATTTATTGCTCCCTTAGTTTTCTTTTGTTTTTGTGATTGTTTTATCAAAACAAAGTGTTTATTGTTTTGAAACAACACTGTTTATGAGAATTGTTTCAAGGCAGATCATGCGACAACTGAGAAAAATTGCAATGTAACCTAAGCTTTCAACAATAAATATACCAGTCCAGTATCAATAGCTGATAATCTACTGGGAATTTACCTATGTTATACACTATTTGTAATTAGTTGATACATTATAGTCATGTGGGGGCTGTGCCTATACTATTACAATCTGCTGCTATTGCATTATACAGTTCATTAAACTGTAGACAACTATATATGTAAGCAATTTGGCTGGCCTGTAACAGCTATAGTGCAAAACTGGCATTATTTTACAAATTACAAAGATCAACCACAGCCTCCAAGTGTCGTGGCGCATTTAACAAAAAGGATAGAATATACAATACTTGTGACAAATGTGTGAATTTTCCGCACAACATGCAAATGACATAAAAAAATATATACATTAAGTAAACAAGATACAACTATAATAATAGACACTACACATATACAAGTTCAAAAATAATGACATTAGAGCAAAATTAATAATAATAAATAGTTACAGTTCCATTAATAACTTCACCATGTGTATCTGATGATGACGAAGCTAAGAGGCATAAGTGATGATGCCCTGAAAAATTTATTTCATTATTGTTCCTTATCTCCAGCAAACATGTATCTCCATCTAACTGACAGCTTAACAAGCTTGGTAGCGTATCTAAATATGTTCTGTTATAGGTAGGAATTTCAGCCGAAATTTTAGCATCGATGGTCATACCTACTGGCAGATAAGCTGCAATATAGTAGAAACCGTCAGAATCAAGTACAAAAGTGAAGACAAACACTTCATTTGTCGAAGTAGGGCAGTGAAGAATTTCTTGGACAAACCTGCTAGGTTTATTCTGATTACTTAAAGCATCAGTGTATGCATCAAAGTTAGAATAATTGTAGAGATATGCATGAAAGCATGAAGAAAAGTTTGGGATTTGTGTAAAGTTGATAAAGTAGAATAATAATGCTCCCTTATCAGCAGTATAAACTGGAAAATAATATCCCAGAGAGTAGTAATTAAGAGAAATATATTCACCACTACCAACTCTTGTATTCCTCCTATCTGGGAATGAGGTGTTAGTTGCTCTAACAGAAGAACAAGGAGCAGCATAAAATGTAATCAAAGTTTGTGTATCTTCTGGTACTGTGAAAACAATATGTGAAATGTTAGAGGGATCATAGTGATTGATAAGCATAGTAGCATTTTCCCCTAGTGGTACAGTATAAGAGACATTTTGTGTTCTGTTGGTGCCAGTAGAATTCGATTGACCAAAGAAATGTATTCCTAGTACAGTAGCAGCTGCTCCTACTAGTGCAACAATTAAGACAAGAAAAAATATACAACACCGACAGATCCATGATCCTAAATTAAAATACATACCATTAAGCAATTATTACTAGTGCTTAGTCTACTTATAATCAGGCAATTATAGCATTTTGGCATTCATTAACAAAAAACCAGAGGAATTAATGCTAATGTAGGCTACATGCATATCATATTCATAATAATAGCATGTACAGAAAATTGTGCATCATGCTTGTCTAGTTGAGGAAACATAAATTTAGCAAAAATTAAGTTAAAGTAGGCACTATCAGTGAAATAAAATCCTTAAAAATATGTACTTTTCATTTTTTCCCATAGGGTTGTTTTTTTTTTATTTATCAGGTGACGTCTCTCGTCTGTTTGTGGACCATTGTTTAAAGATTTGACTGTATTTTCTGGTGGTGGTGGTATAATATTTTGTGACTTTTTTTGAGGTCTTTTTGCTATTGGTTCTGGTTCACGGTGAGATGTTTTGGTAGCCTCATCGCAAGGTACATTGTCACCTGAAAAAAAGTACAATTGTTAGCAAAAATTATACAAAGATTACTATTATAGTCCATGAAAATGGATACATGCTCATAAATTTCAAACCTACATGCATTAAACTTTGAGTCAGTTAAAAATTTAGCATTTAATTTTTAACCAAAGACTAAGCTATAGAACCAAGAGAGCATGATTATGTACTCTTAATGAGTAATAAAACCAATAAAGTACTGCCAAAGGTAGTCTCGCCATGCCTTTTTGCTACCTGCGGAAGAAGGGTTTAGAGACACTGCCATCTAAGAAGAACACATGGTTGGCTCTATGTCATGTGACAGAGGAGACCAGATCAATCAAAACAACTGAAAAAGATGCTTTACAGCTAAGACAAGGATAAAGCCTCTTGGACATCTCTTGCAGATTTGAGAGCAACAACACTTCACGGAGCACCATAAAATTTACTTCTTATTGATGAAAGTTTTATTGTAATCACGTGACAGTATTATTACTTATGGCAACGTTGTAGTAAGCAGCATAATAATGCCTTGAAAAAGAAGTCCAGGGAGCGTTACAGGCTCCTTCCTTCCTTTATTTGGACTTCATTCTGCCTCCTTTGTTAAGCTTAGACAGAGCTCTTCGGTCACATGACTACTTGTTCTACACGTGGTTTGAGTAATCTGATTCAGACATGGATTTCTCTGCATATAGCACAGGTTGTTACTACGAGTGTCTCCAGACCCTCCCTCCACAGGTAGCGAAGGAGCAGGGCAAGACTACGCTTGAGGTATCCCATAAAACCTTTCTAAGTCATATTTGGCTATAAAAGACTAAAATTGAAACTAACTCAAAGTTTGAATACATGTAGACCTAAAATTTACTGTATAAGAGACCCAATACACACACTGTCAGATCAAACCCCATTCATATAATGACACATACATCTGTAATCACAAAAACTACAACTAGGCTGTTCACATTGCTTTAAAAAGGCCATCCATAGTTAACATAGGAATGGCCACGATGGATTGGCAAGGATGGCAACAACAAACTTTCAATGCACACAACTAATATAATGCATACACACCTGCTTACATGATAATATTATCACTTCGTATGCAACAGGAAAAAACATGATTAGCTCATTGCCAAACACTTAAAACATAATGAATAACACAGAAGAGATATTTAATACCATAATAGCCATTTGATGGTAGGTGTGCACCATTAATGTGACACACAACATTAAAAAAGGAATTTTTGCTATGCACAAAAATTTCAGTTCCTTGAAAGTTTCAGGCTAATAATGGTAGTAAGTCTCATTATTTGCAATAAATTGTTACACATTTATCCACGGCTTCACCTCCACTATCACTGAAAGGAGTAAGCTGCTTCTGATAAGTTTGTGAATGTCCAGAACCACCACTACCTAATCAAACAAATAATGACACAATGAACAGTATTGTTTGTGTATTATGTTGTTTCAGCTGATTCAGCATGCTATGCTGGCTTGCATATCTGAATCAGCAATATGTGTGGTTATAATAATAATAATCACAAGCACTGCACTATTATAAGACAGGAATTGCAATAAATGATAAATATAAACATAAGGATAGGTGAATCAGCCTTAACATGGTAAAACCATGAGGCTATTAAAATACCTCTTGAAGTGGCATCACTGTATGATAAATCACTGTCAGAGCAAGGTATTGGACTTCCAAAATTCTCTATAACAATAAAGAATCCATGAAAATTTAATGACAATATAAAATTACTTACTTTTCAATAGTGGTATAAGGTGTTCCCATTCTGGCTCACTTAAGTTATGACGAGTACAATATTCCTTTAACTTTTTATGGTATATTTGACAGCCAATCAACTTCAACCATGCAAAGAGGTGTGGAAACGAGGTCGGCGAGATACAATTTTGCTCTAAGAGCAACTGTAAGAGATGAACTCTTGACGTAATGGTTGATGATTTATGACGTGTGGACAATACTTCAATAGCCATGTTCTTAAATGAATTGTATTGGCCCTGTCCCAGCTGACAAAAAACGCAAGAGATGGTGAGAATAAAATCCATTTTCTGGTCAATGATCTCATCCTGGTTAACGTGTTCCTTTAGGGCCTCAACTATTTGCTGATCCACATCCAAACGCTCGAGCATCTGAACAACAATATTCAGTGCAGCACTGCTGCAACCGGTCTTTCTCTCCAAAAGATTGTATATGTCATGTAGATCTGCTGCCTTGTCGAGGTTTTCTTGTGATATTCCGGCACCTAGTTTAACCACCAATTTGATGGTGTCCATATCCGTCGGGGTCATAGCATCGCGGCAGCTGGCCAGTAGCGGGATAACTTCCTTAGCTCTAGAAGAAACGAGAGAGGGAGCCTCCTCCATCGCAACGAAGTAGATGATCGAAAGGAGACTAAAGAGGCTAGGAGCAACCTGGCGAGAAATCAGAAAGAACTGTGAGATTGGACGATTATGCTGAGCTAGTGTGTTAGGGCGTGTCCCAATTCAATGAATTCAAGATCAACAATTCATCATCATCATCACATAGTAAAAGAAAAAGAGTACAAATGACTGGAAGCTGAGAGCCTTAGAAATGATTAAGAGCTTTCAAATATAAACGGCTTGATTTAGAAAAACAAACTTGGAAAAATATTAAATAATCTTGTGATCAGACTACATAGTCTTGCATAGCTAGACCCATATCAAAATCCTGCGCCATTGTCTGCTTATGACTAGTAGTACTGCCATAGTATTAGTAGTTGCTTTGTTCATAAGTATATTCGTAATTGATATCTTCTCAAAAATGAAAAAGAAACTGATGAAATATAGTTGCTGAAGGTGATTCTGTGTGACTGTGTCCTTATATGAAATACATTAGCACAAGAAGTTGAAAAAAGTGACAGCAAGCACAGTGTGACATTGGTTCTGCAAGGTCCCAACAGCTAAACTACAATATAATGTGTTCTAATGAATCAGAGTCCTAGGTAACAAGCCCACTGATCTCCCAATTATTAATAATAATTATACTACACATCTATCTCAATACCAGATCCAAATTGGTAATGGAAAATATAAATATTTTGATGATAATAACTTTGAATGACTCAGGTACAGTCACCTTGTACTTACAAAGGAAATACTAATTGAAGGAAAAATGGAAAGCGAATAGCTACCCATAATGCAATCTCTTCCGTAATTTTTGATATATGGTCTTACAAGACAGTAAACCAAGGCATTTGTAAGAGGACACTCAATCAATTGGTATTTGCTTAAGGGGAGGCAGAATGTCAAATTTTGAGTAGTACAATGTTTAAGTTTTGTAAGTTTGTCTTTCAATGAATGATTATGATAACATCAACAAAGTGAGTTGTAACCTGATATCCAAATGATAACAATAATCATAGTGGGTGGGTGTAGCATCGTTTGACCATAGTTATAGTAGCCCTGAAGCTTTGAAAAAGGACATTACTCCTATCACAGATATGGGCAATTGTTGTGGGAGTAGGTCCAATACTGTTGATAATGAGGGTGATCCTGATCCTACTCCAAAGCCAATCCCCCTTGGGACAACCAATGCTGTTGTAGTTGATATTGTGTACTATGAGGATCCAACCCCAGCAGCAGTATCTAGCTATAGCTATGCTCTCACTGACTCACCTGTGGCCACCCTTGACTGTGTCAAAGCCACCAAACAAATTCAAGGAGTTAGTTGACATTTCTATCATCATGACTACTATAAAGCCTATACTTTAGTCTGTCTTTAGATATTACTTGTTGTGCCATAATTAAAGAGAAATTTGCAAACAATGTCTGCTTTGATAGTCACTAACATTATTTTTGGCCTAGCCATAAACTCTATGGCCTAGCATACCACTGTACTTTATGTAGACAGACTGTTCTTAATATCTGTATCTGTTTTAAATCATTCTAGACCATAGAGTAGGAAAACCAGTGGGCAACATATTGCTTGCTCCATTAACTTACAACCTTATAGAGCTACTATGCTAACTACTCAAGCTAAAATGATCTTATTTTATAATGCACACACTATGCAGTGTCTCGGACTTATTGTTCAAGTTAGTATCACCAAGGAGATAGGGTTTAAGGCAAGATATGAACAAGATTTTACCGATCCTAAGCCAATAATAAATGTTACAGTGACACCTGAGGCAGATTGTCAATGGCCTCCTGATTCAAAAGTTTCAGTTGCACTTCAAGGCCAATTAAAAGAAATAATCGAGAATGAGTGGAAATTGCAGCTTCATAAAGACTATTTGTAAGTTTGATAAATGCATGTGATACTAAATTATAACCAATATACTTTTTTAGTGCTTTGATTACCATGAAAGATCAATGATAAAGACATATTCACAATATTGAGTGTATAACACTGACTATGAATTATACATACATACAACCTTATTACAACAGACTCCAAGTTTATTGGATTTTTGTCACTTTTTACTAAAGCAGCTTCATAATATCGTGTAAAAAAATTAACACTTTTTTATGAACAAGAAAAACTTATTATGAATAAAAATATTAGCATCACAGTCGAAGAAAAGTTATGATAAATAATAATGTCCAATATACATTAACAAAAATACAAGTCACTGAGACAAAATATCACTCCAATCTTTCATAGGCATTTCGATTACTTTTTATACAAACACAAATTTTATTAATAGCACAAAATATACAGGGACACATAATTATTAATATTAATCCAGTTATAAAAAAAGAAACACTACCAACATTGAAGAGGTAGAGTTTAGGAGTTAAAATTCCATCAATAGTCCCACCATAAAGGTCTGATGATGACGAAGCTAAAATGCATATGTTTTCAGAATGAGTGTGTACTGAATTATGTCCTACTTGCAGCAAGCACTTGCCATCATCCAACAGACAGCTTTGCAGCGTACTTAAACCTTCTAAATATGTTATGTTATAGGTAGGTACTTCAGCAGAAATTCTAGCATCAATGTTCATATTATACGGCATATAGGCAGCAACGTAGTAGAAACCGACAGTTGGAAGTGGAAAAGTGAAGTTAAAAACTTTGTTTGTCGAATTTGGGCAGAAAGCAAATTTGTCAATAAACCCTCTGGCTGGTCCCAAGTTCTTTAAAACTTCATCATACAAGTCATGCGAGTTGTAGAGATAGGAATGAAAATATGAAGAGGTATCAGATTCCTGACAGTCAAAGTTTATAAAATTAATATGATAGGACAGTGTTCCTGAACCAGCACTATACAGTGGATAATCGAAAGCTATGTGATAATAGTTAAGAGGAATATAGTAGCCAGTACCAGCTCTTTTATTACTCACGACTGGGAATGTGATTTTTTTAGCTACAACAGAAGAAGAAGGAACAGCAACAAATTTAAACGATGTCTGAGCTATGGCTGATATAGCAAAGTACCCAATATGAAGGAGATCAAAACAGCCAATGTTAACTGTAGCATTTTCAGCTAGTGTTACACTGGTGTCACCAGGGCTTGGTCCTATATAGTAGTAGGTCATTCCACCTGATACTGCACTAATGCATATCACAAGAGCAGTGATAACTAATAGTTTGCAAATTTGACATTTTTGTAGACAAACTCGTTCTAAAAATTTAAATGATAATGTACTGGCAATAACAAAGTATCAGTGTCAGGTGTCGGGAAATTAAATTTGTTAACATTGCAAAGCTTAGGAAATTACTTAAGTATACATACATAATTATGTCAGCACAGCTATTGTCAACAATACAATTATTACTCATAAATAATTAAGTGTGCAGTGTGTATAGCTACAAAAGGGAAAGAAATAGGAGGCACAAACATTTCTAGAAATAATTTTTGGAGCAATTTCACTCATATCCATTCCTTTCAATTACCAAAAAACTTTTATGCATGCACTACAGAAAATATTTGAGCAAAGCCTAACTATTTTAGAGTTGTGAGCATTTAAGACATAAAATTATAATGTATATACTGAGAGTTCTGTTGGAAAAACTACATGTACATGTAACTCATAGACAGCACACTCTCTTTTACCTTTGTTTTTTCTTATTATTTGTGACACATCAATGCCCACAGTGGATATTAGTGGTATATCATCAGCTTTGATGGCAGGAACATTATTGATTGATCCATTCCCTTGAATTAATTTACTTGACGGCCATTTGCCTACATGAAGTTTCTCCTTTTCAATTCCTTCTGATACCATCTCTGATTCAGGAAGATGATGTAATTCAGCACTATTCATACTCTCATCAGTGGTTTCATCATCATTTTCCATATGGAACTGGCGATTGGTCTCAATACCCTCACCTGAGGCTAAATAGAAAAGAAAGGCTGATTTCATTTTCCATTCATTAAGAAAAAAGTTAAAGATATACATGTACATGTATACATAATATAGTTTATGATGTAACTACATGCAAAATGAAAGTTACTTTTTTCCTGATAACCAGGCACTAGAACTATATTAGTATTTGGTACACATCTTGCTGCTGCAACCATAAGAGTAGGACCTAAATCAATACATACAACAATGACAATATCACTTGCACTAGCTGTATTACCTGATGATGCTTCAACCGGATGTTCTGTACTAGAATCATGATACATATATGAAGCAGTTGGAGATGGAGTGACTGAAGTACATAAAACAAATGTTCATGTACAATTTCAATATACAATGTATGTATTTATTTACGGTCAGGTTTTTGTCTTCCACTACTAAGAAAAGGAGTTGCGGGTTTTGATTTGACACTCAAAGATTGAGAATCAATCATGCCACCATCTAATAATAATAATGACATAATGTATTGTGATACAAGGCCACATGCACAACCAATTGTTATCGCTTAGATCAGGACTGATATCAGTCTGAATCTGTACTAATATCAGTCCTGAATCATGGTTTTCGTGTAATCAGTCATAATACAACTGCGAACATCAGCCATGATACAATCATGATAAAATTTGTACTGATTCATCCCAGACTATCAGGCACAATCTATCATATAATGTGTCAGGGCTGCATCAGACATGGTCCATTATTTTGGGACAAAAGTGCTGATTCAGGCGTGATAACTTTTGGTTGTGTATAAGGGAAAGTCATCATTCTCACATGATTCTCATGAATACTCATCATTGCTGACTAGACATTATGTTTTTAAATAACACATGGTACACAATGAGCATCAATTGATAACAAACTGTAAACATAATAACAATGAACTCACCTCTTATAGCAGCAGGAGGAAGACTCCTGGTAGCAAGGAAGCTTCTAGGACAAGACCGAGGATGAGTATTGTACTTACTCTCACCAGCATTAGGATATTCCTCTATATACATGTATAACAGTAGATATAACAATTGTAAGTGTAACAATACGGGTTCAACAAATTCTATACTTTTTAATGGTGCTACGAGGCTTTTCCAATCAGGCACCTCAACATGGTGACGCTTGCAATACTCTTTTAGGTTGTTATGATACAGACTGCAACCAACCACTTCCAGCCACACAAAAAGGTAGCAAAAAGAGTTTGGTGTGAGATGGTTTCCTTCCAAAAGGAGCTGCAGCAGGTGAGTCCTTGATGTGATGTTTAAAGAATCAAAATGAGGTAAAACAATACGCCTTGCCAGCTCCCGTAAAGAAAGATATTTTTTGTTATCTAAACTCCACAAGATACAGGAGACAGTTAGAATAAAATCCATCATTCTCAGATTGCCCTCAATAACTATCTCATTTTGTTTAACATGTTTTTTTAAAGCATCGACCAGTGACAGTTGCACGTCCAAACGCTTGAGGATCACAATGAGAACATTAAAGGCAGTGCTACCATGTTTTTCCTCTAGAAGAGTGTATACTGAAGTGAGGAGATCGGCCTTCTCAAGATCTTCCTGTCCTATTTCAAAAGCGTGTTTAGCCACTAGCTTAATGACATCTAGTTTCCATGGACTGACGGCATCGTTGAGTCTGACTAACTTGGCAGACAATTCCTTGTTTTCAACTTCTGACAAAGCCATCGAGACAGAGACGGCCTCAAATTTTAATAACCATAATTAATTAACTATTTTCAATTAATAAAAATGTGAACATAAGTTTTCTATACCATACCTACACTTGATGCAAATAATAATAATAATAAACCAACCACAGTCGCCACTAGTCTCACTACCCCACTCATGCATGCCAACAATGAAGAGGCGGGAATGACAATGACAATAGAGTATACATAACATTTCTTGTGCAACACACACTTGAGAAAAATTATAATGATCATTTCTTGTATTGCACTTCTTAACATTACAAGTGCTCTAGAGTGAGAGAGGGGGATAAAAAAAGAAAGAAGGAAAAAAATGAGGAAAATATAATTCTGTCATAATCAACAGTGTGTGTTGATTTGTGTTTACTGCATGTATTACCAAGGTACATGTAATAGGAGATATAGTATAACTCTGGATTATCAACAGGACCACTGAACTGCTTAGAAAATAATTTGGTGCTACCTAAAACAAACAGGTTACAAATTATCAACACCAAGTCACAGACAAACAGCAGGCTTTACCTTGATTACCATCAACTGTCATTGGTCCATCATGTTGATAGTTTCTGGTACATGTTGCATAAGGACAATTAACTGGTATCTGATGGTAATTTGGACCCAATCTGTGCCTATGAGTATCATCATAAGAAAATTAGTGACCCTATTAAATAGAGAGAGAGAGTGAGGGAAGAAAAGATTCAGTGATAAATATTATTAAAATGGGATGAGAATTTTGTTAGGTGAGGTGATGGCTCAATTAATGCCATGCAGCTACCATGTGGGCTGGAGAGAATGCCAACTGCTCAACTTCAGTAAAATAATTAGCAGGATTACAATTAAGAACCATCCTACCAACTGGAATCAATGGGAACTCCTTCTGTGCATGCATGGTCAAATCTATAAAGAAGTACATATACATGTACATGTACAGTAATACTATTTCCATTGAGTGGATTTACTGACAAAGAGAAACATTTTCTTTAAATATCGTAGATCGTACATGTCATATATTTTGCGGAGATTAAATTTCGTGATTTTCGCGTTTTGGAAGAATTTGCAAAATTAAAATCCACAATAGCATGCTGATTGTATAGTAGGTGTGGTAATTACATTAAAATCGCGAAATTTTATTCACCAATATAAAAATGCAGCCAAATCACAAAATTTTATACCCACAAAATATATGGCGTATACGGTATAAAATATTTTTTTATACATGTAACTCACAAATTGTTAGTCTGAAATGTGAATCAGCTCAACTTTAAACTTTCTACCAAGTATATGGACAAAAATATGCATTAAAAATGTGGGTAATTTTGGAGTAATTTTAAAGGAAAAAGCATAGCCTTGGGTATTTTCCAGAATTATTGAAAATGGCCGTAACTCAAAAATTGAAATCGGGATCGGTTTAAATTTAACTTTCTACATAACATAAGGACATCAATATCTATTAGAAAAAACAATAAAAGTTTTGGGTGATTTTGAGGCAATTTTTCAGAAAAAACCATGGGCTTTACCTTAGGTGTTTTTCAGAAATTGCATGGCTTATTTTTTTTAATGGATATAACTTGAAAAATTGAAGTTGGAATCGGCTCAAACTTTCTACATAGCATAAGGACACTAATATGTATCAGAAAATGTAATAAAAATTAGGGGTGATTTCGGAGCCATTAAAAAAAACCATGGGCTATAGCCTTGGGTATTTTATAACTCAAAAATTTGAAGTCGGAATTGACTCAAACTTTCTACATAGCATAAGGACATCAACTTGCATCAGAAAATGTAATAAAAATTGAGAGTGATTTTAAAGCCATTTTTCAGAAAAAACCATGGGCTATAGCCTTGGGTATTTTTATAAAATTGAGCATTTTAAAAAATAGCCGTAACTCAAAAATTTGAAGTCGGAATCAGCTCAAACTTTCTACATAGCATAAGGACATCAATATGTATCAGAAAATGTAATAAAAATTGGAGGTAATTTCGGAGCCATTTTTCAAAAAAAACCATGGGCTATAGCCTTGGGTATTTTTATGAATTTTGGCATTTTCTAAAAATGGCCGTAACTCAAAAATTTGAAGTCGGAATTAGCTCAAACTTTCTACATAGCATAAGGACATTAATATGTATCAGAAAATGCAATAAAAATTGGGGGGTGATTTCAGAGCCATTTTTCAGAAAAAACCATGGGCTATAGCCTTGGGTATTTTTTAGAATTTTGGAATTTTCTAAAAATGGCTGTAACTCAAAAAATTGAAGTCAGAATTTGTTTAAACTTTCTACATAGCATAAGGACATCAGTATGTATCAGAAAATGTAATAAAAATTGGGAGTGATTTCGGAGCCATTTTTCAGAAAAAACCATGGGCTATAGCCTTGGGTATTTTTATGAATTTTGGCATTTTCTAAAAATGGTCGTAACTCAAAAAATTGAAGTTGGAATTGGCTCAAACTTTCTATATAGCATAAGGACATTAATATGTATCAGAAAATGTAATAAAAATTAGGGATGATTTCAGAGTCATTTTCCAAAAAAAAACCATGGGCTATAATAGCCTTGGGTGTTTTTATAAAATTTAGCATTTTAAAAAAAATAGCCGTAACTCAAAAATTGAAGTCAGAATTCGTTTAAACTTTCTACATAGCATAAGGACATTAATATGTATCAGAAAATGTAATAAAAATTGGGAGTGATTTTGGAGCCATTTAAAAAACCATGGGCTTTTTCCCCATACTTATCTGTACTATTTATTATTACAATATGCATGATTATTTTTTGCCAATAAGTCTCCTACACATTAAAATAGGTTACTTGACTAGAAAGTCAACTCAATTTAGTTAGATCAAACAGATTCCATTCAAACTCCTTTGCTTGTTCAAATGTCATTACTTAAATATAGAGTGTCCACGAAGGCTAACAGCTATGAACAAGAGATTTAATACTTTTAAGTCATTACAGTCTATCTGAATTTACTAAATTAGGAGTAATACATGACACAGTCTTATTGCATATAAATTAAATCATGAACAATTTCTAACCCATAAATTTATAAAGCATAAATTTCTAGATGTAACAGTACTGCCTGCTGTCAGTGTTGCTGTCTTGCAGTCTACAGGATGACCATGACTAGTCACTAGTTGTTAAAATATCTGGGCTCTATAAAATTAGTAGGAATAACTACAGGTACTTAATTTCTTGCTTTGATTCAAGGTGCATTTAGTCAGCAATATAAAACTGAATACATAATTGGCATTTGGTTATCATGATAATCTTATTTATAACCAGACTTTATCATTAAAAAAACAGTGCTAAGTGCAAGAACAGGTTTTGTAAAGCAACATGTTTTGATCACCATCTCAAGGCCTTATTACATCATGCAAAAGCAACTGTGGTGAGTCCACACACCGTAGGTGCCTCGTTTATACACATTAAGTGGTGAAAGTGGACACCACATTTGACATTTCAGCTCAGATTCAGAGCTTCTACTATACATGTGAATTCATCATATAAGATACATGTACCAGGATAAACCTGTGCTCCTCTCATCTGTGCCTGTTTACGGCATGATCCACGATGCATGTGATACTAAAGGCAGCTAATATGCAAGTGTAACCTCTATGTTATCATTGATTACATCACACCCTATGCACTTATAGATCTACCCCATGATTTCTCAATAAAAAGGACAAGCTATCTACAAGTTGATTTTTCTACCCAGCAAATTAAAAAAAGATGCATGCAATGTCCTTCATTACCTTACTTTCTTGTAGGCTGCAAAGCTGACCAACTGGCTGGCTAATGGAGCCTTTGCTTTTGATGCTATCACTATTCGGTGTAGCCCACTTAGATAGATCATAAATATCTATGGATAGATCTACTTTAGTGCACTGAGGGTGGGGCTAGGGTGCGGCTATAGAGCCATATAAGTAGACTAGATTCTATTGCCAATTATTATTATTAGTTAATTGACTTAATTCTGGTGCAGCAAATTCCCGTTCTTCTTTAACATGACTTACGACGGTGACAGTGCCAATCCTCGGGATTTAGCTGACGTTAACAGCAATCTGTCTATCAAAAAGTACTGGGAAAAAGAAGAAGAGTATTTAAATGATTGGAAACTGAGAGCGAGGAATGACAAAGACTTTTTGGAACGGCTAACAAAAGAACTTTCAAAGATAAACCGGCTTGATTTAATTCGAGAGTTACTGAACGATCCAGTGATAAAAAGATCAATAAAGAAAGAAAGCAGTAACGAACACGAACTCCCACTACCACATCATAAAAGTAAAGCTACGTTACTTAAGTCAAAATGCTGTGTTGTTGTCTACTCTTTACTAATGATACTACTAATGGTTTTATTGGCCTTAAGTATACTCCCGATGTTGTTTATGATTGATGTCTCACACACTGCTCTTTATAAGGAAAAAAATGCTGATAGAATAGTCGGTGAAGGGGATTCTGTTTCAACGTACACATTAGATAAGAAATACGTAAACACGATTGAAATATCTGAAAAAGTCGAAAAAGGTGACAGCAAACATAGTGTGACACTGGTTCTGGTCCCAACAGCTAAACTACAATATGACGTAATCTATGAATCAGAGTCTTGGAATGCAACAGCCTATGTTCCTGATTTCCCAATTATTAATAATATCTATGTATATCTCAATGCTCGATCCAAAGTAAATTTCAACATCTGGATTGGTAATGGCAAAAATAAAAAATCCGCTACACTATACATATTTGATGACATTGATAACTTGAATGACTATATCAGGTACAGCGAAGTGAAGTCACCTGTATTTACAAAGGAAATACCAGTTGAAGGGAAAAATGGAAAGCAAATACCACAAAATTATCTTTTTACATCTCCAGCTGATGGATATTACTACATTATTCTGCTATCGCCAGAAGCTAACATCCAATTTTCATACAACGTTAACACAACCGAACTAGTTACTGATGTTGATCAATACACTTCTGACTACCCATCCTGTGTGATTGATACGGAAAGAAATTGTACACTCACAACTAGCAATGCTAAGCATCCAAGTAGTGAGAATCTTACTTTATTAGCTGCTGCATCAACCAAATACGACATCAGTAGCAAAATCACTCACATTCACTTGAAGTTTACGAATCGTTCCTATTTGATGGCACTACCCAGTATCATCTTTGGAATTACAGCGGGTATTGCAGTATTAATACTCATTATATTGCTTTCTATTGCAGTGAGTGTAGTTTGTATGAAGAGGAAGAGTCATAGAGCAGGATATGTCTCTATAAATTAGAAGTTTGATGTTTTGATTATTATTAGTATATCAGTATTATTTTCTGGGTGAATTTGTTTTTCTTGATATCAGTTGTATCAATGATAGTATGTAGTGTAACCTGATAATCTAAAATGATAACAATAATCTTTCATATAGTGGGTGGTACAGCTTTGTTAAGTCACTACTAGACCCTGGCCCTTAGGGAGTATCAACACAAAAGATATGGGGAATTGCTGTGGGTGCAGGTCAGAGGAGAGGCTTAGATCACCAGTGTCAAAGGAGGGAAAGGAAATTTCATTTACAGAGGAAGTGGAGGAGCAGCAAAAGCCCCTAGTGGGTGATCCTGAGCCAACTCCAAAGAGAAATTCCCTTGGAATCGATGATGCTGTTGTAATTGACATTGTGTACTATGAGGATCCAACCCCAGCAGTACCTGGAAGCTGTACCAAAGTAGATGAAGATAGTGTTGAGCTTGCTGCCACTGAAACAACTGGGGCCACCTTTGACTGTGACCATGCCACTGAACAAATTCGTCAAGTTAGTTGATACTAATTAGCTTATAGAGCTGATCTATTAAATAGAAGGTACATGTATGTACTCTTGGTACCATTAATCTCTATTATGTCTGCTTTACTGAAGCTATAAATACTCAAACAAATGTGTAAATCACTAATAATTCATTTTGGCCAACAGTTGTTTTGCTTGCTCCATTAGCTAGACCATTAAGAAAGGAATGCTATAACTTAATAATGTACTATGTAGTAATCAAATTTATAATGCATACACTATGTACAGTGTTTAGATAAAACTGTTCAAGTTAGTATTACCAAGGTGACAGGATTTAAGAAAAGATGTGAAACGGGTTTTACTAAACCCAAGACAATAATAAAGGTTACAGTGGCACCAGAGACTCAGAGTCAATGGCCGGATGATGGTTCGACACTTGAAGGCCAATTGAAAACAAAAATTGAAACTGAATGGAATTCCCAGCTTAAAAAAGACTATTTGTAAGTTTATCAATTATGAAAACACGCATTTGACACTTTATTTTTTAGTGCTTTGATTACTATGAAAAAACAACAATGTTGAAGACTAATAGGCTACATGTTCACAATATTGAGTGTATAACACTGACTATACAAACAGCTTAACTGCAATATACTCCAAATCATTGGATTTTTGTCACTTTTTAAAGAGATTTTTATACTATTACACGCAGCTTCATTATTTTTACTGATCTTTGTATAAAAAAACAAGCACAAATTGTGAATAAATAATTCCACCATAAATAACAATAATATTATTAATGTTTTAAAAACAAAGACATGCCAAAACTTTACAAAAATATTACAAAAACAAACATGCTATAGACTCAGATAACCATCTCGACTCTTTCTTCTCGAAGCACAAAATTTAGTGATTATACAAAAAATACAAGGACACAAAATAATTATTGATACCACAAAAACACATCCAGTTAAAAAGGTAGAGACAGTACGGGCATTGTAGAGGTAGCGTTGAGGAGATACGGTTCCATTGATAGTCTCACCATAGAGCTGTGATGAGGAAGAGGCTAACAGACACACACTTTCAGAATGAGCATGTACTGGATGATGTCCTACGTCCAGCAAACACTTTCCATCATCCAACAGACAGCTTTGTACGCCTAAACCTTCTAAATACGTTATGTCATAGGTAAATATTTCAGCTGATATCTTAACATCAATGTTCATATTAGAAGGCATAAAGGCAGCAACATAGTAGAAACCGACAGTGTGAAGTGGAAAAGTGAAGTTGAAAACTTTGTCTGTCGAATTTGGGCAGAAAACAAATTTGTTGATAAACCCTCTGGCTGGTCCCAAGTTCTTTAAAACTTCATGATACGAGTCAAGCGAATTGAAGAGATACAGATAAAAACATGAAGAGGGATCAAAGTTTGTAAAGTTAGTATAATATGACACTGTTCCTGAACCAGCACTATAGAGTGGATCATAGTATCCGGTGTGATAATAGTTAAGAGAAATGTAGTAGCCAGTACCAGCTCTTTTATAATTCACATCTGGAAATGAGATTTTTGTAGGTACAACAGAAGAAGAGGGGACAGCAAGAAATTTAAATGATGTCTGAGCTACAGCCAATATAATGAAGTGCCCAATGTGTAGTAGATCAAAACAGCCAATGTTAACTGTAGCATTTTGAGCTAGTGTTACACTGGTGTCACCAGGGCTTGATCCTATATAGTGGTAGGTCAGTCCACCTGATACTCCACCAATGCATATCACAAGAGCAACGATAACTAATAGTTTGCAACAACAATACTTGACAGATGTTTGACGATACTTTTCAGACAATACTTGACGGAGTTTACAGATTCGTTCTAAAATGAATAATGATAAAAGTATATCAGTGCCAGGCAAACAAAGTATATAGTCCATTGCTATAATGAAATAAGTACAGTTATTTTAGCATATTTGCATAAGCACATAGTTGTGGTCAAAATATGATACTAATACTATTAATTAATTTAATATATTTGTGTGTAAACATAAAGAGGGAGGCAAGCAGACACATTAATAGTGATGATATGGTGAGTCATTTTTGATCATATCCTTTCAATTAAATTGCTATGTAAACTTCCAGTAAAATAATAAAAAATGATTGATAACGCACTCTCTAGTACTATACCTTTGCCTTTTTTCATTATTTGTGAAAATCCAATATCCATAGTTGTTATTACGGATGTATCATCATTGATGCCAACTACATTAGTCATTCGCTCATTGCTTCGAGGCAGGTTGCTTGAGGGCCACTTGTCCACATGCAACTTCCCTTCCTGACCTTCTCGTGATGACTCCGATTGAGGATGATGCAACTCAGTGCTGTTCCCACTCTCATCATTGCTTTCATCACCAGAATCATCAGACTTGAGATCTATAGGAGGAAACTGATGGCTACTGGCCACAGAACCAACACCTAAGGCTAAAAGAAAAGAATGACTGATGTTAATTCTAAAATGTACATTTATCGTGTTAGAAAAAATTAAAAAAATAAAATACAAAAAGCACAAGATAAAGTATCGTAATAATTACAAGAAAAAAGAAAAAATACCTTTTTCCTCATGGCCAGGTACAAGAACTATTTCAGAATTTGGTGCATCGCTTACTGCTGTAACCATAGCTGTAGGACCTACATAATGCACATCAATTAAAGTGAATAATATTAATAATAGTATCACTTGTATTGCATTACCTGATGCTTCAACTGGATGTTCTGTAGAATCACGATACATATATGAAGCAGTTGGAGATGGAGTATCTAAAGGGCACAAAACAAATGGTCATGGATACACATGTACATGTATCTACTTACGGTCTGACTTTCTTCCTCCACTATTAGGGAAAGGGAGTGGAGGTTTTGATCTGAGACTCAGAGATTGAGAATCAATCATCCCACCATCTAATAATAACAATGACACAATGACACATACACCACGACACATGACACATACACCAAGTCACATGCACAATGAGGGGGAATACCTCACTCTCACATGATTCTTATGAATATAATTAAATTTGTTTATCAAATAATATTGCATCATCATCATTGCTGACAAGACACTGATAAGCATAAATGTGCGTATGTTGCAAAGTAATAATGGCATAACCACACACACAACAAGTGCCAACTGATAAACAAAAATACAATTGCATAACATGAACATAGTAAACCTCTTATAGCAGCAGCAGGAAGACTCTCAGTAGCAGGGAAGCTTTTAGGACAAGACCGAGGATGAGTATTGTACTTACTCTCACCAGCATTAGGATATCTCTCTGAAAGTAAACAGTAATATGTGCTCTTGGTAATATGTAATTTACCTTTTAGTGGTGGTACAAGGTTGTCCCATTCTGGTATCTTAATTTCATGGCGTCTGCAGTAAGCTTTTAGCTCAATATGATACAGGCTACAGCCAACGACTTCCAGCCATGCAAAAAGAAAACGAAATGAGGTTGGAGTGAGGCAATCTTGATCAAATAGGAGCTGCAGGAGGTGAGTTCTTGTCTTGATATTTGAAGGATCATAATTGTTTAGAAAAGTACGTCTGGCCATCTCTTTCAGTGATTTATACTGTCTCTTGTGTAAGCTACGTAATATACACGAGACGGTTAGAATGAAATCCACTTTCTGATATCCTTCAATGACAATCTCATTCTGTTTAACATGCTTCTTTAAAGCTCCAACAAGCACGGTATCAATACCAAGACGCATGAGAATCAAAATCAGAATATTGAGGGCAGAACTGTCATGTTGTCGTTCCAAAAGATAGTAAACTGATGTGAGGACATCAGCTTCATCAAGGTCTTGCTGTCCTATCCCAAAAGCGTGTTTAGCTACCAGCTTAATTATGTCCAGGTTTTTTGAACTAACAGCATCGTTAAGTGCGACCAGACTGGTTGATAGTTCAACCATAGGTTCGACTCTGGATGAAGCAAATCCCTCTGCCATGACAAACAAATGATAGGCTGCTATTAAACCAGAGAGAGGTGCAGTAGTCGTGACAGAGAGAGATTAAAATGGCTAGCGCTAGCGGTGGTGCTAGGGTGTGGCAATTCAGCATATAATTTATTATTATGACTCTTGTTATGACCTATTCATGATAACAAAACCATTTTTAGAAATTGAGCTGATTTCGCACTCAAAAAAACTGTAGTCACTCTTTATCCTTTAGTGGCAACGTATTATTGAGAATTAAACATTTCAAAAGTGAGATAAAAATGTAGTAATACATAATGTGATTCAAGAATAGCAAAAATAATAACAATTCATAGTTCAGTCAACAAAGTCAAAGTGAGGTTAAAATGTTGGAAAAATTATACAATTTATTTATACTTTTAAGTGGGTGAGTACTTGAATTACTCTCCCTGGCTCAGTCGGTCTTCTCTTGATTCTATAGCATTAATAAAAACCAATCACAGCCATTAACTTGTTCCTACCTGCTGGTCTGCGAATTGTGCTTGTAATACATGACTACTGCCAATGCTACCGCTGATACTAGGTACTGTTGCTCCCATATCTTTAGGTTTAGTTGGCGTCTCAAAAACAGGCTTTCCCTCTTTATCAGGTGACTTGACAGGCTCCAAGACTTTTCCTTCTTGATAAGAGCCTCCCATATATGCATCAGTCACCTGAGGATCACTTGTAACAGCATCTAAAATTATAGTAGTGCTGCTACTAGGATCCTGTAAAGGTCGTTGTGGGTCATATTTCTATTAATAAAGATTACAAATAAAAAATAATGGCATCCTGTGCTGGCTTACATCATATGTTCGAGTTGATTTTTGATTGCTGGATATTAAAGAGTCTGGGAATGCCATATGACCCCTTCGGCTTTTAGATCTTTGAACTTTTCTACATTTAATTACAGCTATAATGCATATACATGCAGCTGTAGCTATGACACAAATCCCACAACCAATAGCTACAAATACTGAAAACAGGTGAATACTGTCATGTGATGAATGTTAACTTACTCCAGATCCACCATGGTAGCTTACCCGATGGTTTCGGTGTTGAAGAGGGACTTGGTAGTATATTAATAGCCACTAGAGGGAAAAAAGAGCCTATTATTGTGGATAAATACTAAACTCTAAAATCAAATGACTAACTCCAAATCCTAAACCTAGGACCACTTTTAGCCAGGTTATGCCCAAATACATATACATGTGTAACTATTATACTCACTTATATTTAGTATCAATGGGTCACTACTGCCAGCATCATTGCTAAAAACAATAGTCAAATTACACCATTGATTCTCAGGTAATAAAAATGATCCTAATATATTCGTTGGTCCACTAATGTATTCAACACTGGTATTAACAAAACCAGTTTCATTACACTGTAGAGTAACATAAACATCCCTTGGACCTCTACCAAGACATACATGTTCTACAGTAACCTAAAATATAAAATAAAAAGAAATTATGCTTACATGTACATAAGAGTAACTACATGTACAAACTACAGATATGTTATCATTGAGTTATTAAAAAATTAGAATTATGATTTAGCCCATATTGCATGGGAACAATACCATCATACTGGAGTTTCCTTTGTAAAGGCGAGTTTATAATAATTATGCTAGACTTGACGCTGGAGTAGAATTTGGTTCTATTTTGGTGTAAAGCATACATATACATCAAAAGCAAATCGCTCACACTTTTCATTAAAAACTGATGGTACGCTGGCCTAATGTGATAATTGTAAGCCCACCTTAAGACATAAAACGTAAAAATCTGTGGTCAGTATGAGATTTACATGCAAAAAATTGTGCTTAACAATTAGTTCGGTCACACTCCTTTAACACTTGATAGGGACATGAGTGATGACCATGCACACAACATACCATATAGTGGGAAATTTTGGATGGAATTAAATTTGGCAAATTTCTAAAATTTGGTGATTGGCAAATTTTAATTTGGCAAATTAGTGGCCACGTGCCACTGAGCATGCGTATAATGGCTCAAAATGGTGGATTTTATTTTGGCGAATGGCTATCAAAATGCCAAATTCACCAAAATTAATTCCCTGCAAAATTTCCCACTATACGGTATAGCAAATACATGTAATTATATAAATACATTTTTAACTACACATAAACCACAGATACTGCTGTGTTGTGTGCTCTTAGGGACAATATCAAAAATCTTACGGCTAGATTATTTTATTATACTATCAACAATTCTTACTGATATATTGTACTGAACAGTCATAGTATCATTAGATACATTAAGTGAAGTAGTGTCTTCTAGCGGAGGGTCAGGGACTATACAATAAACAATTTGACAATCTTTAGAATTTTAATAATTATTCCATACCTTTTTCATTTGTAATTATAGCATTGGTATCAATTCCTTCCCCAATCACATTAACTCCAGTGACAATGATGTTATAATGGTGATTGAATACATTCTCATCTTCAAAGGTAAAGTAAGTATTGTTGACAGACAACTGAGCGCCATTAATACTCAATTTGTAATAGAGCACGTCACAGAGTATATATGTGCACTGAGGACTGTCCCAAGCAATAGTGACAGCACTGCAACTGTCATTAATTAATCTAATATTAGTAACTGGTCCAGGAATGCCTGTATAATACACACGAGATTACATGTAAGAATAAACAACACACATGTATTACTTACCAAGAGTAAAAGGTGATACATCATTAAATTCACCTCCTTCATTACTCAATGATACATTAATAATGAAAACAGTCGGAGTATCAGGTAAAATGAGCGGACTGTGTCCAGTCATAATCATTGATTGATTATTAATTTCTGGTGATATACTGTTGCTGTACACTACTGTACCATCAGTTGTCAATACATCAATTGTTATATTATCAGGATACTCTCCAATACATAATTCACTAGCCTGAAGTAAAAACATAAAGCCACATCATACTGCACTGAAAGATGACACTTACATTAATAGTAATAATCAGTGACAATTGGTCCATTTCATTAACTACTGGAGTTACTGATACTGTAGGAGTTAGAGGAGGAACTAAAAATGAGAGATTGTTGATGAAGCCATATAGCACTATGCATGTAATAACCTTTTTTATAATAAAAACTGATATGATTTGGTAGACCTAATCCAGCTTTGTTACCAGCAGACACAAATACATTTGTCAAATTACAAGGGTCAGGATCAATACTTGATAATATGAAGAAAGTATCATTAGTGATATAGTTCATAGAACCATCATTAATGTGATATCCAGTAATAGGTACATTATCCAGTGTATAAGGTGCTGTCCATGATAATAGTACACTAGATCCATTGATAAAGGTATATGTTAAATCACCAACACTAGCTAACAGACCTATAAGGCAAATAAATTAAAATTGTTGACTTTTTACAATACCTTGTATTATTAGTGTAGCAGTAGTGCTATTAATATCACCCGGGACTATTTGACATGATACATTAGTATTGTTATTCATCTCATGCGTGCAAACAGTTAACACAGTCGTAGTAATGCCATTACTTGTACTTTGACTTAGCCAAAAACCTTTGTCCACAATGGAACGTTCAATTGCTGGTGTGCCATTGACAAAAAAGTTCATCAAATGTACACCACTTGCTTGACACGTGAAGTTAACTGTTGCATTCAAGGTTGTATTAACTGAAATCGGTTGATGTATATAACCTAAAATAAAATAAGAAACAATTAAGACTTATGTGTTTCCTTTTTGTTGAATTAGTATTCGCAATATAAACATCATATACAACAGAAAAGCCACATGCATATGTTATATACAATATCCGCCCACATGTCAAAATTGGCTGCCATTTTGGTTGGCAACTGAATGGAGGCACAAAAAACTGCCTCACTTACCTGCTGTAGCTCTATCAAAAGCTAAAAAGTGCTAGTTATAAGAAAGAATAGCTACCTTTAGGCTTCTCCTATAAAAAAAATTGATCCATAATTTGTAATACGGGTTTGTTTTTATGTGCGCCCATTTATTCTTCATTGAAAGTTGCCAACCAAAGTGGCGGCCGGAATCTATTTCATCCTACCACGTCTTACAACCATAATAATCTTCCAATGCAATCAATAGGTTAGTCTATTCTGCATTAGCCCATTCATACTCAATAAAAATTTTTTGTCTACAAAAATTATTTCAGGGTCAATTAAGGCTCAGCCACGAGTCTTGCCGTCATAGGCAGTGACAGGGTCGGGCATGGACGGGCAATGCCCAACCAAAAATTTTGACTGGAAATAAAAATTTAATTGTTAGTCATAAAAATTGCCATGGTAATTAAAAGTCATAAAAATTCTGCTTTCCTTTGTCAACAAGCCTTCCAGGAGGATGCAGGACTAGCACTTTACAGATTGGATAGAGCTTTACAGATAAGATAGGGTGCCTTTTAGGCGTATTTTTATGGTATATCATATTGTATGCGTGCATTGAGTATACGCCCAAAATACACGCAAAAAGTGGGTGTGGCCAAAATCGTGGGACGCTTTGTGCGCCACAATTTTTTGCCCAACCACTCTTCCAATCCTGCCGCCGCCTATGCTTGCCGTGTTATACATCATTCTTTAATGTAATTCATAAAAGCTCTATTGATCACGCTGAGCCAAATATAATACAATAAGACAGAGCAAGATACTCATCCCAAGGGAATCTAAAACCCCAAATTACAATTTTAGGTCGGTTTATTTAATCAGGCTATATATAGACTATAATAGTGTATAATCACAAAATAAACTAGTATATTACCAGCATAGGCGAGGGATGAGATGATAAAAAGCCCGAAGAGTACATTTCCCTCGATTTTCATATTGAAAAACTAAGGACAACCGTTGAAAACCCAAGAAAAACCGAGTGACAACCAAGAAAAACCCAGGAAAAACCGTAAAATGAGTATCTTGGTAGTAATTTTCATATTATGTCATAATGACATCATCTTAGTCTTAGATCTAAAAATAGACCGCACGTGATGCTGTGATGCGAGCTAGGCGCATGCAGGCTAGGCGTGGCCACAGATCTGATTCGTATTCTGATCTGATTTGCAGCTCAGCAGTCAGCAGACCGAGAGGGATGATGTTATCCTCTTTTGCAAGAATATATCTTATTGGACTGCTAATGCTAACAAAATTCTGTTTATCTATTTATACAGTTCAACCTGTGTCGCTGAATACAACTTTGAATTCAACAGTGACCTTCACATGTAAAGCAAATAGATCTACTGCGTACCTTATTTACTTTTATGTTGGGTTTATTTCTGCAAATGAAGATAGCATTGTTAAAAGAGGATTTACACAAGAAAGTCAGTATACTGTTAATGAAACCTTGCAAAGAACATTATCTGTTTGGGCACAAGAAACTAATAACAATACAAACATATCATGTGGTACTGCCCCTGGCGATGTTAGAAGTACCATTGCTGTACTAAAAATACAAGGTATTGTAAAAAGTCAAAAATTTTAATTTACTTTTATACAGGTCTGTTAGCTAGTGTCAGTGATTTAACAGTTACCTTTATCAATGGATCTAGTGTACTATTGTCATGGACAACACCTTATACACTGGATAATGTACCTATTACTCGATATTACATTGATGATGGTTCTATGAACTATATCACTAATGGTACTACTTCCTTTGTAGTATCAAGCATTGATCCTGACCCTTGTACTTTAGCTAATGTATCAGTTTCTGCTCGTAATGAAGCTGGAATAGGTCAACCAGCATATATCAGTTTTTATTATAAAAGAGGTTATTATTAGCATAATGTTACATGGCTTTATGTATGTGTTTCAATCCCTCCTTAGTTCCTCTTATAACTCCTACAGTATTAGTAATGCTACTATGGAATAAAACAATGATAAATTTTAGCATGAAGGTAAGTGAAAGTGAAAGTACTTACAGGAACAATTTTTTCCCACAATAATTTTAGGTTGAAAAATTATGTATTGGAGAGTATCCTAATAATATAACATTTCATGTATTTAGAACAGATAGTACAGTAGTGTACAGCAACAGTATATCACCAGAAATTAATGAACAAATGATGGTTATGACAGGACATAGTCCACTAGTATTGCCTGATATTTCTACTGTTTTTATTATTAATGTTTCATTGAGTAACGAAGGAGGTGAATTTAATAATGTATTGTCTTTTGGGTTTGCTAATGGTATGACATTAATGTGTTGGTGCTTCTTATTCTCTCATATGCATGTAGGACCAGTTACTAATATTAGATCAGTAATATATAACTGCACTAACATGACAATATCTTGGGATAGTCCTAATGGTACAAATTATATGGATTATTACAGATTGGAAATATATGATAACAGCAATGATCAGTTGGTGCACAGTGCTATGGTTCACGGCACAAGTTATCTGTTTGAAGTTGATCGTTTAATTTATAAATTTATTATAACTGGAGTCAATGAAATCGGAGAAGGAATGTCAGAAACTTCAATCATTTCCTTGCAAAAAAGTATTTGTACCCATTGTGATTATAATAATATAATGTGTATATATTTTAGTTCCTAAATCACCTCAAGCAGTTTGTACTATACTGAACCGTACAAATGATTACGTCTATTATCTGGTTGATATTTTAGTAAGTTGCTTCTCATTATTATTTTGTCTAGAATTTCTACTTTTCAGAGTACAATGGACTGCATACTTGAAGCTCCTGATAATATTATTATCCACGTATTGTGTAAAGAAATTGGTACAGTATTTAGTAGAATATATCAAGCAGAACACTCCAATGTCACTGAATTTGTATTTTCAGTACCCCAGTACCAAAAAGAATGTAATCTCACTATTTTGTTGAGTAACAATGCTGGTCGTAGTGATCCATTTATTATACGATTAGGTACACATAATTTACAAGCTGTTAATTTTTACCTCTTGGGATTATGTCATTATAGATACAACTTCTCCTGCAACAGCAAATTTTATACAATCGCCTACTATAATATCAACCTCTACAAATTCTACTACAAGCATTGGTTAGTAGTATAGATAGAGTAGTAACCATTTTGTTGTCTAGTTATTACAGTAGTAATGGTATCAGTTTGCACAGTTATTATGCTGCTAATAGTATGCTTTAGTGTACTAGTGATCATCATTATCTATATGAAGAGGAGAAGCAGTAAGCTACTATTTTCTCAATAACAACTACCATTGCTAATATACAATAGAAACCGCTAACATAGTTTCAGTCCCTAATCCAGCATATGATGATATTGATAAGTTTAAAACAAACATCAGCATCAATCCAGCATATGGTGAAGTAAAAACTGATACAAGACAAAATGTTATATATGATGAAATAATTTTGTGACTTATTCATTTTGATTTGTGTGATCAGTATCATTTATTGTAGTTTCAGGTACATAATAATTTTGTTTTGTCAAGTTATGAATAAGTGCATTCATGGACTGTTTATAACAGTGTGTGAACTTAATATTAAAATCTAAGTTATACGAAGCAGAAAAGAAATGTTTATGTTGACTTGTTCTGCTCTTTCTCCTCTATAGTGCATTGTTGTAATTATGTGCTTCCGGTGTTTGTGTGTTCATGTGTTTGTACCAGATGTATGCAAATGTTTATATTTATAATTGTTATTATAAAAGCTATTCTGTATCAATTTTATTCATGTATGTTTAATATATAAAATGGGTATAAATACTAGCTATGGCAGGTTATGGTTTCCCACAAAGCATGCTAACTGCTAAGTGAGCTAAAGAAGTACTTTATATGCAACTTAAAATTCAATTTTGATTGGAATCTGCTCAAATTTTCTACACAACGATCCCACACAATCTACACACGACTCCATTGCCCCCTTGAATTCTGAGTAATGAATAAATGGAGAATGGAGTCAATGGACAACAACCATGGTTCACGCATGTGCATTACATGGAGCCAACTGACTTCAAAAGAGGTGTAGAATGTAGATATGACACTAGACTGACAAGAGGTTGAATGAGAGATAATAAAATTAAATTATCAATTAGAGTAAGTGCATGGTTTTGTTAGCTCCTGGTTCATATGCATCCATACAATATAGGATTTACAGATATATATTTACCAAGTTTGAATTTACTGCTGTATAAGCATGCTCCAAAGTGTACAGTAGCTATTTGGCACTCCTCCAACTATGCATTTTTAAAAATTTCTGCTCATTCCTCCTCTATGGTCAGTATTCCTCACTAATAGAGCATCTTTTATGTTTCAACATGACTCCATTTAAACCTCAGGTCCTACGAGAACTGAGTTATGGTTATATACATGAACAGAGAAATTATTTGGTTTGTATTTTCCAAGTGTCTTTTCACTGTGTTATTGTTACTCAATTTGCAATCATTAAAGAATTCTTATATTAAATAAGATCCTTCACAGTTTGGCTGGTGATAGAGAGACATCATTTGCTCTTAATGTTTGTGTGTATTGTAATGGAGTACCAGTACTACCTCAAGTATCAACTTGTAGACATTTATTTTGTTATTATTGTATTGCTGCTAATGTACTAGCTGACTCTAACTTTCCATGGCCTGTATGTAGTGAAAGAGTGAACAATTTCACTGATTATATATAATGTGCAATAAGTTGTTTACACATGTGATGTTTGTATATTATTTTCTCTGAATAGTATAATAAACTTGAAAATCAAATATTTAATGTCAAAAAGTAACAAAAATAATATTTTATTGAAAATAACTAAATTATCAGTGATGATAAATAACTAAAAAAGAAGATAAATCTACAATGCATGTACATTAAAATAAACAAGCAGCTCGTTTTTGAAAAGCATTAGTCACAGCAATTTTTTATTTATATTGCTCATATTTATTAATCATATTATCATGCAGTTTGTTGGCTAGTATGGTATTTTCTTCTTTAAGTATTTCTAAAATATAATCAAAAACCTTTCCCTCTTGTTGTACAGAGTTTTTAATAATGCCAAGTAGTTGATCCATTCTCTCGTCAGTTGTACATCTACTGTGTTCATCAGTAGCTTTTTTCTTTTGTCTATCATTTATTATCTTCTTCTCTAATAACTTTTCAGCAAAAAAGGAAAGCTCAATCCCACAGTTCTTGATAGCTGATGCAAATTCTGATATCACTCTATGAGCAACTTCTGGTACAGTTGACGAAATAACTATAATGTATAAATCAAACATTACATTGTTTTCACATGACATCAAAGTTTTACCTTCTTCGCTTACTCTTTCTGCTGGTGTGGCATCAACAAGAGACAAACCAACTAATAATATTAAGATAATAACTATAAATTTAGATCTAGATGAACAATCAAATACCGTTAAAGCTGTAGCAAGACCTATGCACAGCAAGTGATGATGAATTAACTTTAAAATAAAAAAATAATAACAAGATTTAACATTAACTGCATAAGCAGCAGCACAACTAAAGCACATGATTTGCCATGAATGATTGTCAGGAGCAGTCATAGCCAAAATTATTGTGATACAATTTGGATTCACGTTTATTATAATTATCGTAGATCTATAATTATGTGCACATTAACTGTACAGCTACAATTTTTTCTTTTATAATTTGCATCAAAACTTGATCATGCTTCAAAAAAATCAGACAAAAATTTTGTTTTACCTGTTTTGTTAATTCTTCCCTGATACAAGGGAAAGACTCATTGAAGCACTTAAAAAGTTCATAATTACAGTGTAAAAATCAATTTCATGTTGTTGTTGATCTGCCCAGTCTAACCTAATAACTATACCCTTGTTCTGTTCACAATCGATTTCTCTAAATTTTATATTTGGCAATTCAACAGTAAAAAGCACACAAAATATAAACCACTAATAAAAAATTAGTTTCTCAATGTAAATTATATTAATAAAGCTCTCTCCTTGATTCTATTAATAATCAATAATTTATTTATTTATTTTTATTGATATTCTTACTTATATGGGTAGCAACTGAGTTTTCTTTAATTTCACTAAGTGCATCGACTAGTTTGTCCCATGTTGCTTCAATGTCATCAGTAAGCCATAATGCTAAACATTCTCTGAGACATCGATCAGCATCTTGTGAATTTTTTGTCTCAGTTGTCTTTAAATCATTGTAACTCAGGCCCAGGTAGAGACCAAGATCAAACCATTTGATAGTCTGAAATTCACCATCTTTTAGCACTCGCAATACCTCTACTAGATTCCTGATAGTCAATACGACTATAATAGAAATAAATTATTGTTTGAAACTAGTGACAGTGAGACTAGTGCTCTTATACCTTTCTGTTGATCATCATTGGGCTCACTGATCTGTGTGGGTGAGTGAATTGTAGCTGATTTGACCTTTTGAATTGTTGGCTCTATATAAATTTAGTGCATGTAAATAAGATGTATTACAGTACATGGTAATTAATGGTGTATATTGTATGTAAAACACTGTTACGCTTGTTGTGAATGTATAGATCTAAATCTCTAGTTTATACATACCTTGAAAATGATGCTGTAATTCAGTTGCTGCTTCACTAAGACAAACTTTCTCAAGAGCAGCAGTCAATGACTCCAATGATGCTTCTTTGTTCTTTTCCCTCCATAACAGAAGTATAGCTCTAGCGTATTGCACTGGTGTCCTATATCTTGACTCAATGGAGAGTAATTCTGATGGATTCAATCCAAGAGATAATCCAAAAGGAAACCACTTTTTGTAGCATTGAAATTTTTCAAAAATACTTGGTATAACTTCTAAACACCCAAGCAAAAGTGAATCAAGATCTATCAATAATTTAAATTTTTAAGTCAACTAAATAAGTTAAACTTATGCAGCTGACTTTGAGAAGATATGTCATTTTCTCTTTTATGTGTGAGTAAATTAGAAGTATCCTGAGATGGGTCATAACCAGGCTGTTTCAAATTAATATCATATCTAAAATTTACACTGGACCCTACAATAATGGCTCAAAAATTGTTTAAAGATTATTTTCTTTACCTTGCAGTGTCACTATCACTTTTGTGACCTTTGGTGCTGCTGTTTTGTCAATGCACGTAAACTCATAACAAAAGCGAGGAGGATAACGACGATGCTTTTCTAAATCTTCTAGCTTTTCAATATCCTTGCTAGATGTGTCTTCATCTTGGCAAGGAGGCTTGTGAATATCTTTGCTAGACATATCTCTAAACTGGCAATGCATCACTTTATGATAGTCCACATCATCTTCAGAAATCTAATTTTACAATAAATCAATATTCTAGTATTTAGTACTAGATTACCTCATCAACATAAATCCCAAAATGCCTGCTTGTCCAGCCTAGTGTTTTGAGGTTATCATGATCAGGGTCAAAAGTAAGTGATATGGCACCAGTATCAAAATTCATCTCTTTAAATGAAAAATCTAGGCTAAAATCTTGTGAGTAATGTTTTTCAATGGTCTAAATGAAAATTAATATCATACCAAATTTTACTAAGCATCGCAACAAAGCCTACTTTTTTGCATGCGAGTTGTGAAGGAAATATGATACAATGAAATAAAAATGTCACATCACTTTCTTGTTTTTCTGCAACTGCTAACCAGCAACGTTTTTGAATATTTTCAAATGAGGATTTTTCAATACCAGCACATGTAGAGCAAAAATGGTTACGAGATGTCTTGCAAAGAGCAAAGTCTACTTCCAAAACAGAATCATCATTCTTAGTAAAATGTAATTCATTTTCATTAAAAAATTCATCTTTAGCTGTCAAAAGAGTTAATTTGCTTCTTGTAAGTGGATTAGTAGCATCAACATGATGAGGTAGATACAGCTCTGCCAGTTTCATTAGCTCTTGGCTCATATGCACCCATACAATAGGAGTAACTGGTATATAATTACCGAATTTGAATTTACTGCTGTATAAACAAGTTCCAAAGTGTACAGTAACTGTTTCTTCCTCTTGTACAGCTCCTTCTGGAATAATAAGGGTCACACCATATTGACTGCAATGATGTATCAAACCACTACTGTCAACTATTAAATCTGTCATATCACCGAATATACCTAAATGAAGCATTTATTAATTATTATGAATCAGGAATTATGCAATTTGCAATACTTTTCATTTCTTGAATAGGTGGCTTTGGAATCATAGTGGCATTAAATGTATCATCACGCAAGGTAAATGGCTTTGTAGTGCTTACATGTAGTTCATTCTGAGCACTTTTTTCTTGGTTTGTTTTAATAACCGTGGACTCTATTGATCAATTCAAAGTATAGCTTTAATAAAGCATTGATTCAAATACGGAGAAGGCACTATTCATGTATGTACATTGTATAGTACCTTTCATCTTTGGATTGAATCGTTCAGTCAACTCCAGTAGTTTTGGAATAGTATTTGTATTTTTTATTACATCATTGGAAGTACTAGAGGATAATGGCTCTGCATTGATTACATGCTCATTACTTTTTCTCTGACTTGTTTCTTTTTTTGTAAACTCTGTACGGAACAATTGCAAAATGATCAATTTTACCACTTGTTATTAATATTTATAATGAAGTTAGCGGCCTGACAGATTTACAGAAAGATGGGGCCGCATAAAAAAGGATGATAATTACTGTAATTTGGGATTATATTCACAACTCTATATGCACTGATATCAAAATTCAATGTAAATCCCAATCAAGATTTATTTGTTCTTGTTACTGTACAAGATGATTTATTGGTGAGAGTAATATTTGGCAAATTTGCCTGTAAAAAGTTAATGGCAAATTTTATATTGGTAATTTTGTGCCATGTGCAATTGAGCATGCTCAGTTTAAAACAAAATGGCAGATTTTATATTGGCGATTTCTTCATAGAACCGCCAATTGCCAATATTAATTCTTTGCCAATAAATCATCTTGTATGGTATATGGTAATTTAGTAAATTTACACACACCATCATGATGATATATATACTCATATCATATGAGATAAGTAAATTAAATTTACTTATTTCATGTGATGTGTGTAATTACTTACGGTTGATTCTTTCTTCTCGATTCAAAATTGTACTGAGGCTTAGTGATTGAGATACTGCACACCTACCATTACCTAATAATAGGAATGACAAGTCATGTGATGATCTAATATTACAGTAATGATTTGATGTCATATTTTAATTGTAAATATAAAAAATACAAATTTAGAAATTTTGTAAATGGCTAAAAACTTAATTTTTTGTGTACTCTTATTATATATAATAGTATTAGTACCTTATTATTTTAGTTTTATATTTGTTATAATTTAAGTACACTGAGTCACATGAACAAAACCGAACAAGAACTGATTGACAATTTAAAAATCAAATTATAAAAATTGCATTTACTTAAATATGCACTGATAAGTTTAGGGCATGTTCAGGAAGTATGTCTGCTCAGTTGTCATTTGTTCTGTGTGCAGCATAATTAACTGTTACATAAGTGAATCAACATTTTTCCTCACATTTCAGTGATAAGAAGCCAGTGAATATTAAAAATCATTCATTAAATCACATTTTGGTTAATGAAATTTATAAGTAAGAGTATAAATACTTACGAGCATTGTATTCTGCTTCTAATTTCCTAGCCACTTCTTGTGAGGCCACAGTATCATAGTCCTTGAGGATTTTTATAAGCCATAAAAATATTTCTCCTGGCCTCAAAGACAAAGAAACAGCTCTTTCTAATTGTATGAGCAGCTGTTTCATTTTAATATTGTTCATTCGGTAGCTACGTGTATTCTTCTTAACATCTTTGACAAAATCTTCCATTTCCTCTCTTGTGATGATACGTATTTCCATAAACTTCTCTGCTAATTCAGTCAACTCAAATTCCTTAATACATTTTATTATCAATGTAATATTCTCAGATAAAACACGAGATGCAACTATTACAAACATGATTATTTCAAATCGTAACAATTTTCTTACTTTTTTTATCTATTTTTTGTGATGTTAGTTCCACAGTTGTACTTTTGGTTGCACCTATTAACAAATCATATCATACTGGTAGCTAACATGTACATGTAACAAAAAATTATAGCATACAAAGCATATACAATCTTTTATACATGTATAGCTCTACATGTGCCTTAAAAATAATTGCTGCATAAGTTTATATAATTGAGGCAAACTTTTCTTGTTTTTTCTTTGAAAGCAGGAAGCATACTAAGTGAGCGCATGCTTCATGAGCTGCATGGCATTTGGAGCAACTTAAAAATTCATTAAAAAATCCAAATTTGATTGGAATCAGCTTAAAGTTAATACTCAACATACATGTAGATGTAAGTACATGTATATATACTAGTATCAGAAAAAATTATAAAAATGGAGTATTCTCTCCTAGCTACTTTGACAAATTTTGGCTAAAGACCAAAGGTTGAATTTTGGTCATTGGCTCTTCGGACACTGGTTGAATTTTTGAGCAGCTTCAAAAATTCATAAAAAATCCAAATTTGATCAAAATCAGCTTTACAATAATAATAACTTGACTTATTGCGCCATTTGCACAGAATACAAAAGTAAGGCTTAGGTTGTGTTCTCTGGAACTGACACATGCATCAAGGTACATACATGTATATTATCGCCACCCATTGTGTCACAACTTTATAGGTCATCTTAAACTTCCAGTGCTTCAGGAGAATTCTCTATAGACATCTAGACATCTTTTGCCTGCTATATAAAAAGCTCAAAACTGCTAGTTGCTTTATTATTTGATATGACCACACTTACTTTATGTAATGTTTTAATTAATGTATACATGTATAAAGCTAAGTATGAATATTGGGTGGGCTGAATCACCCCATGCATGTAGGTCATATAAATAATCACAAACACACATTTTACCTTCAATTTTCTGTGGCCTCTCTGATTCAGGATGATTCGTATCAGTGTTGTTCCCACTCTCATTGGTTTTATCATCAGAATGATCAGGCACTATAGGGAACTGACTATTGGTCTCAATACCAGCAGCACCTGAGGCTGAATAAAAAAGAATAATAATTTCAACATAATACTTTATTATTTTAGTAAGTGAATGAATTATCAGCAAAACTAACAGTTAAAACAAGGTATAGATTGTTTTTCACCACCTCAATGTATACAATAAGAGGTTAAAAGTAAATCTCCAGGACATTTGATAGTCTCGCCCTGGCGGCTGAGCGAGACTAGGCATTTGATGATTGTTTTCTATACATATATGTATATATAGCATGCTTCAATACATGTACATAACAAAAAATTATTGGCATACAAAAAACAAATGACTAAGTCTAACAAATGTCTATTGTCTAACTATAGGAATGACCAGGCCATCTTAATTCTTAAATAATTATCTCACTTATATAAGAAGCAACTGATGCTTCTCCTTCTTGATCAGTAGCATTAGTTAGTCTGTCCCAAGTTGCTTCAGTATCCTTCCTAAGCCAATTTGCTAAACATTCTCTGAGACATTGCTCAGCATCTCGTTGATATTTATGCTCTATTATCTTACACTCCCTGTAAGACAGACCCAATGAGAGACCAAAATTAAACCATTTTGTGGGTAAAAATTGACCATCTTTTAACACTTGTAATATCTCTGCTAGATTCTCGATTGTCAATATAACTATAAATAAATAAATAAAACTAGTGACAGTGGGTGCTTATACCTTTTTTTTGATCATCGTTGGACTCACTGGCGATCTGTGTGGACGAGTCTTTTTGAGTTGTTGGATCTGTATAAGTATAAACATGAAAACAGTCATAATGTTATTGATATTCCACAATTCAGCAGGATGAGTATCTTTCTGTTAGTACATGTGCATGTATGCATGATGCATTGGTATTCTAAATATTTTTATAAGGTTATAATTACTGATATTTATTATAACTATTACAAGTACATACATGTAAATGATATGAAACTACATGTATCATACTGACAGTGACTGCTTATACAATGTACCTTTCTGTTGATCATCATTGGACTCACTGATCTGTGTGGGGGAATCATTTGTAGTTGGTTTCACCTCTTGAATTCCTGGCTCTATATTAAATATATAAAATGAAACAACATTTAATTGCGTATATAATACATGTACAGCGTATTGGCATTTTTTACTATCACTAAACTGCAAAAAAAACAACTCATATGTGAAAGAATATGTACAACAAGCTAGACAATTGTAATTTTGCTAAGTGAAGTGAGTGTATGTTAAGCACACACTATCACATACATGTACACATAAAACTAGTGACAGTGAGTGCTTATACCTTTATGTTGATCATCATTGGACTCACTGGTGGCCTGAGTTGGTAGGTAAGTTTTGTCCTTTGGAATTGTTGGCTCTGTATAAGTATAGACATAAAAACAGTCACCTATTATCATTCATACTCTACAATTATTGGGCTGAGCCTACTAACCAGAATACATGTATCCTATTTTTATAAGGTTAATTGCTGATATAGTCATGTAAATACCATATACCGGTTTATTTTTGTAGTGAAATATTTTTGCAAATTTTCTGGTTTCTTGCTCCGTCGCAAAATTTTTTCACTGCAAAATTCTGCATTTCCATTGCCACGTGATGCAGTCTGCCGCAAGCTATACACAAAAGTTAATTCCGCAAAATCTTAGAAAAGCAAGATTCATGAAAATTTTCTACCACGGAAATAAACCGGTATACAGTATGTGGTATGTGACTGTGACAGTTGCTTATACCTTTCTGTTGATCATCATTGGACTCACTGATCTGTGTGGGGGAATCATTTGTAGTTGGTTTGACCTCTTGAATTGTTGACTCAATATTAAGTACATAATATGAAGCAACTTCCACTTGCATGTATAATACATGTATAATGTATTGGTATTTTTATTGTTTTTTATTAAATAATCCCAAACACACATTTTACCTTCAATTTTCTGTGGCCTCTCTGATTCAGGATAATTCATATCAGTGTTGTTCCCACTCTCATTGCTTTTATCATCAGAATGATCAGGCACTATAGGGAACTGACTATCGGTCTTAATACCAGCAGCACCTGAGGCTGAATAAAAAGAATGATAATTTCAACATAATACTTCATTGGCCTCACCTAGCTTTCGTAGGTGAGGACTAGGTACTACTGTTGTCTGTCTGTCATTATTTTAGTAAGTGAATGAATTATCAACAAAAACAACAGTTAAAACAAAGTAAGATTGTTTTTCACGACCTCAATATACACAAGAGGTAAAATGTAAATCTCCAGGGCATTTGATGATTGTTTCCTATGCCTGTGTCATAGTTCTGCCTATGGTGGTTGGTGGTGGTTGGTACAACCACTTCAACAAATGAACCAACCAGTTCATCGCTTAGACCAACCATGCAATGAATTAGTATGTTAAATCACCATACATAAAGCATAATATTGTAGTCTACTAGTATGGTGTACACGTACATAAATTTAAAAGGAACAATATTAGCCTCCAACTAATTTTTTCTAGCTGTATGTACTGTATAGGGGTTATATTTCACTGGAAATAAATTTTGCTAATTTTGTGTTTTTATTAAATTTGCAAAATATGGCTGCAGAAGGTAAGACTCAAGAAATTAAACCCCTAAACGGCATATATAGCATGCTTCAATACATGTGAATAACAAAATATTCTTGGCATACAAAAAACAAATGACCAAGTCTAATAAATGTCTATGGTTTGACTATAGGAATGACCTATCCTATTTCTTAAATAATTATCTCACTTATATAAGCAGCAGCTGATGCCTCTCCTACTTCAATAAGAGCATGAACTAGATTGTCCCGTGTTGCTCTAAAATCTGTTTTAAGCCATTTTGCTAAACATTCTTTGAGACATCGCTTAGCATCTCGTGGATGATCAGCCTCAATAACATCCAGTTCATCATGACTCAGACCCAAGTAGAGACCAAGATCAAACCAGTTTGTAGTTTGAAAGTGACCACTTTTTAACACTCGTAATATCTCTACTAGATCGTCGATTGTCAATATAACTATAAATAAATTAATAAAACTAGGAAAATTGAGTGTTTACTTATACCTTTTTGTTGATCATCATTGGACTCACTGGTCTGTGTAGATGAGTCTTTTTGAGTTGTTGGCTCTGTATAAGTATAAACATGAAAACAGTCATAATATTATTGATACCCCACAATTCAGCAGGATGAGTATCTTTCTGTTAGTACATGTACACATGAATGTATATGCATATTCTAACTATTTCAATAAGGCTATAATAACTGATAGTTACAAGTAGATACATGTAAATAATGTGAAACTATATGTATCATACTGACAGTGACTGCTTATACAATGTACCTTTCTGTTGATCATCATTGGACTCACTGATCTGTGTGGAGGAATCATTTATAGTTGGTTTGACCTCCTGAATTGCTGGCTCTATATTAAGTACAAATTAAAATCAACTTGTAGTGTATAATAGCTAGTGTATCACTATGTGTTACTATCACCAAACCATACAAAAAGAACCAAAGAATAATGCATGCACAATTAGCTAGTGGAGTGACCTAATAGTAACCCAAAATTAATACCTACAGTGTACAACTTTCATGAGGCGTATTCATTACAGTTACAAGCAAATTACTGTCAAAACTGAAAAAACTCCTATTGCAACTAAAAATAACCATTAATATTAAACAATTTATTAATTTTTTACCACTTGCATTAAAGGGCAAACATTTCCCATGTCTGGTGGGATAGTGTATAAGCTATAGTTATTTCCTTGGCTCATAAATATTTTACTTGCAACTGCTGAATTACATAAAAATCCTGTAATCATTAGTTGTCAAATTACAACAACCATGACTGTTAAACAAACTATCACATACATGTACACATGAAACTAGTCACAGTGAGTGCTTATACCTTTTTGTTGATCATCACTGGTTTCAGTGGTCAGTATGGAAGAGTTATTGGTAGCCCATTTGTCATTTTGACTTGTTTCAGTTTGTTCTATATAAAGTATAAATGTCTACTTCAATTGTGTTTCTTAGTATAGACATAAAAACATATCACCTAGCTATTATCATTCATACTCTACAACAATTATTGGGGTGAGCCTACATAAGCAGGATGTGGCCTTTCTGTATGTACATGTACAGTACATGTATTCTAACTATTTTTATTGCTGATATAGTCATATATATTTTGATTGTGACAGTGAGTGCTTATACCTTTTTGTTGATCATCATTGGATTCAATAATCTCTGTGCCTGAGTGATTTTTGTCTTTTTGAGTTGTTGGCTCTGTATAAGTATAAACATGAAAACAGTCATATTATTGATACTCCACAATTCAGCAGGATGAGCATCTTTCTGTTAGTACTGTACATGTGCATGTATGCATGATGTATGAGTGTTCTAATTCATTATACTGATAGTGACTGTTTATACAATGTACCTTTATGTTGATCATCATTGGACTCACTGATCTGTGTGCGGGAATCATTTGTAGTTGGTTTGACCTCTTGAATTCCTGGCTCTATATTAAATATATAACAAAATCCACTTGCATGTATAATACATGTATAGTCTATTGGCATTTTTACTATCACTTAACTGCAAAAACCTACTCGTATGTGAAAGAATAAGTACATTTATAGTATAGTGCATGGGTGCATCAAAGGCACCATCTGTGCTATCAAGAATACATATAGCACACTTCCGGTTCATACAGCGTCCATAAAGCACAGTTTGTGGTTTCCTGTTGTATAAACTGTGATTGCTCCCAACTAAGAGCAACACGAGGTAAAAGACTCTGCAAGCAGATAGTTCAGTCTCTTTTGGTTCTCTTTAGGCTATTCTTCACTTGGCCTTGGGCTGGTGCCTTTGATGCACCCACGCACTATGACCATTAACTAGTAAAAGCAAGGAGCAAGGTTCCCCCTGTGCTGTACAGGGAACTGTGCTTTAACTAATAAATGACCTAGACAATTGTAATTTTGCTAGGTGAAGTGAGTGTATGTTAAGTACACATAATGGCACATAAACTCTACAGTATGAAATAAAAACTTAAAAGAAAGTAATAAACATGTATGTACATCTAATGCATCATGCATGCATATCATTGAAGCTAGCTTCATTTTGTTGATCCTTTTTTAATCATTAGTCATCAATAATGATTTATTATTAGTAATTAAATAAAATCTCACTTATATAATCAGCAACTGATGTATCTTTTACTTTACCAACAGCAATAGCTAGTTTTTCCAGTGTTGCTTCAATATCATCTTCAATATCATCTGTAAGCCATTTTGCTAAACATTCTTTAAGACATCGCTCAGCATCTTGTGGATAGTTAGTCTCAATAACCTTGAGATCATTATGAATCAGACCCAAGTAAAGACCAAGATCAAACCATTTTGTAGTTTGAAAGTTACTATCTTTTAAATTTTGTAATATCTTCACTAAATCCCTGATAGTGAATATAACTATAAATGCATGAATAATGTGAAACTAGTGACAGTGAGTGCTTATACCTTTATGTTGATCATCATTGGACTCACTGGTGGCCTGAGTTGGTAGGTAATTTTCGTCCTTTGGAGTTGTTGGCTCTGTATAAGTACAAACATAAAAACAGTCACCTATTATCATTCATACTCTACAATTATTGGAGCCTACTAAGCAGGATGTAGTTTTTCTGTGTGTACAAAATGTACAGTACATGCATTCTAACTATTTTTATAAGGATAATTGCTGATATAGTCATGTAAATAATATGAAATGTACTAGTGACAGTGAGCGCTTATACCTTTTTGTTGATCATCATTGGGCTCACTGGTCTCTGTGGTTTGTGTGGAAGAGTAATTGGTAGCTGATTCATCCTTTCGATTTGTTTCAGTTTGCTCTATATAACATATAAATGTCTACTTCAATTGTGTACAATGATGTTTCTTAGTATCTCTACTACAAATAAACTCTCATCTACCCACAACCAAATCAACAACTTGTCATTGGGCCTAATCATTTATAACTTCTAACCAACAAACTATAGTACTAGAGTCACTATTCAATAGATTAGAGAAGCTGGGCTTCCCACTAAGCATGCTAAGTGAGCTAAAATATGTTCAATGAGCTGATAAGCCAGTGGCGGATCTGGGCCCGGGCCTAGACGGGCCATGGCCCGGGCATCAGAAGTCAGTAATGAGATTCATTAGATGCAATGTAAACAATTCCCTGCCTCAAGTTTTGAAAAAGCAAACCACAAGCCACACCAGAGTACTTACAAGTGCTTGAAGAGCATTATAACCACTGCATAGATAAGGAAATTGTTGAAACCCATCATAAAAATGGCCAGCTATAAAATGACTGGTTGAAAAGTGGACACACCCACTTCCTGGCCCTACCATTAACTTGCACCCAGATCCGCCACTGTGATAAGCACAATAATAGAGAATATAAAGCAGCTTAAAAATTTATAAAAATTCCAAATTTGATCAGAATCAGCTTAAACTTTCTACACAGCTTTTACACAGAATTTTCTCAGAGTCATTTTTGAAGAAATTTGACCAAAGACCAATGAAGGCTATAGCCTCTGGCCTTTGCCTCTTTAGCAAAATAACTATAAAAAATTCTTTAAAATTCAATTTTGATTTAAATCAGCTCAAACTTTCTACACAACATATAAACACATATAATGTATAAAAACACAATAAGAATTTTGTTTTTGCCATGTTTTATGAAATTTGACAAAGTACCAGTACAGCATATGTTGTAAAATTTTTGAGCAACAAAAAAGGTCAAATTACCCATACCTTGTTGATTATAATCTTGGTTGTTATAAGAGTCTCCTAAAACTTCCTACAGAAATATCAGTTACATTAAATAATGTTTGTAATCACATACAGTATACCTTAATATCACGTCCTCCTAATAATGACAATTCACAAATATCTGCACGTATCAATGATTCATCAGATAGGATCTCTTTCAATTTTTTCTGCCCTTTAGCACATAGATCTCCAAGAAATGGCCGTTCTTGATTAATTGCTGAAAGCAAATTAAAAACACCATAAACGGTCCTTTCTCTTGGTCTATTCACAGGATAGGCTAGTTCTTCAGGATCAATAATCAACTCTTCAACTTTTAAACTGGGACAGGATTCCTTATAAACATTCATTACCTCTCCTATCACAACTCTTCTTAGGGACACCATATTGTCACTGTAACCTTTCTTACAGGACATCATTACTAGTACACACTGGCTCTCATCCACAATCTCTACCAATACTTTTACACCATGACCATTAAACCAGTGAAAACCATTACTCCAAAATTTGCATTCATGATTCAATTTTTCAGCTAATTTCTTGTTCCCTTTTGAAAATGAAAACTTAAAAGCAAGACGTAAAGACAGGACATGGAAGTATCGAGGAGGAAAGAAATCATGTTCTCTAGTACAATGTAGACACCAACCAAACTGGTACACTTGACAAGTCATCTCCTTAGGTCTACCAGTAGACAAAAGACATGGAAAGAACAATAACCTTTCTCCTCTTCTTTGAGTCTCTGAGGCACTGTCTCCTGTTTCATCTCTATCTTCTGCTATTAAGTTTGTCATTTTCAGGAAAGATGGATCCAATTCTTGACAGAGTTGCATGTTTTTCAGGAAACAGATCAACATGTCAGGATCATATTTAGGGAAGAGTCTAGTCAGATCAGGCACACTAACAATACCAGTATTGCTAGCAATGTCAGCATGTTTTTTTAATGTCTTTGGAGCAAAGAGAATCCCATCCACCTCAGTTAGTAGAATACCCTTATTCATAACAACCCATACCTTGTCTTCACTTTTAAGAACACTAATCAATCCAGTTGAGTGCAATGAATCAAGAAGCTCGGCAATTTCATTTTTATCATCTGGTACAATATAATTATCATTGTGTTTAAATGGTAATGTTATGTCAGAGAGGGTCAGTATATTCTCTTTCCTTTCCTCCAGTAGACCATACATCATGTGACAATAAAGACTCGAATTCCTTCCACTGGTACTACGAATGGACTCACAGGCACTAGATAACTTATTAAAGAAGGAATCCACACCACTCCCACCACACTTACGACAATCTAAGAAGACACTATCACACCTTTCGCTTACAATAATCTCCTGTATTACTTCCTTTCTTCTCTTTTCAAAAAGATTGCTTACCTCATCCACATGACTGACTATTACAATAACATGGCATTGATTAAGAGTTTTCTGTGCTTCATTTCTCACAACTGACAGCCACTGATAAAGCTGTTTGACTGCTTCCTTCTCCAATATATTGACCACTATCAGGAACAAACCACCAGAACCTTGTAACAGATTCTCAATGACAGCACTGTGACTGGAGTAGTATTCTGAATGACCAGCAAAATCATGAAGAATAATGTTGCCCAGTGTTCTGTGTTGTAGTTTATAAGGAATGACGCCAGCAGTACAGGGCTCCACATCTCCAACATTTCTAAAGGAACCAAGAACAAAAGGACCAGTAGCTGTTTCCTTGATGACATGACTAAGAGTACTTTTACCAGCTCCAGGGTTACCCACAAGGAGAACGTTAACATAAGAATCAATTGGATGAGATTGTTTAATGTTACCAAACTTCTTGAAGATAGCAATGACAGCATCACTATTCTGCCTTCCTTTAGCTAGTTGTAACGGTGTCTTACCCTTATTTTCTTTAGCCAAAGGGTCACAATTACCAGTTGACAATAAGTATTCAATAACTTCAACAAGACTCTTACTGGCAGCATAATGAAGAGGTGTTTGTCCATCTTTATCAGTCACCATCACATTGCAGTTGCAGTCTTTAATGAGGTATTTAACGACATCTATATGTTCCACAGCATGATGGAGAAGCGTTTTTCCATACTCATCACGAGTCATTACGTCGCAACAGTGACAATTAATGAGGTACTTTAGAACATCTATGTGTTTAACAGCACGAAAAAGAACACTCTGACCATAAGTATCCCAATATTGTCCGTCCATTATATGACCATCAATGTTCATGACTATACACTTCAAAACATCAAGTAATCCTTGACTAGCTACTTTATGAAGAACAGGGACATTGCCATGCTCAGTAGCAGGCATCATTGGATCACAGCCACACTCTTTCATAAGATATTCAACTATATCAATGTGATTACCTTCAGCAGCAGTATAAAGACAGGGTTCATGATGATAATATTGATGTGGATCAAAGTGATATTTGTTGATGAGATCTCTCGTAACATCTAACCAGCCTCTACTTATAGAATGATGAAGCAGGTCAGGCTCATTTTGGTAAAAGACATTAGGATCTTGTAAACGTAGTAAGCGAACAGCTTCTTTGTGATCTTTTTTCAAAATAAAAGCATCCCAGAGTTCTTTGTCCATCCTGCAAGACTAATAGTCTTGCAGCTTGGCCAGACCCACCCTCCAACCTCTGTGGGTCTGGCCACGGGAGACAACAAAACTGGCCAAAAACTAAAGCAGGCAGCTAGCTCAGTGGGGTGGCTGCCAATGATGTACTAGATCTAGTCTTGGTATATGACTGTTTGGAGGCTGGGAAACATTTGAAAAAGCATACAGTGTAAAGGTATTAATAACCCAGCTATAGGCATAATGGGGTGAGCCTCACAATAGTATGGGAGTGAACTTGGATTACTGAGGGGTGGCTTTACAATAGATCTAGTAAGGGGGCGAGCTTGGGTTACTGAGGTGAGGGGTGAGCCTCACAATAGTATGGGAGGTGAACTTGGATTACTGAAGGGTGGCTCACAAGGGCAAGCTTGAAATACTGAGGGGTGAGCCTCACAATAGTATAGAGGTGGGCTCAAATTACTGAGGCAAGCAACAGCATAGCATACAAAAAAGGATTACTGCATGATGTAAACTGTTTTGTGTGCTGTACAAATCGGCCAGCTACCTTACACTCTCTTAGTTCACTTTTATCATTGTAATAATAATACATAAGAGGGTTATTATTTACTAGTTCACCCACAAAATCAGCAAAATCAAAATTACCATATGAGTAACTCTATAATATTTTGTGGTGCATTAAATGTTGTGTTTTGTAAGTGATGTCTTATCCACAAAAATTATTTCTTGCAAATGCAACTACACATGAGTGGTATAATGAGCATGTCTATATAAATGTAGATAGGCATTGCCTGGCCTGACTACACAAGCACATAAATATAACTAGGTTTCATTTACAGTCGTACATATAATATCTATCAGGTGATAAACATTAGATATAACAATAAACACAGTTTGAAGCTATCAGTAATGATTCTATAATTATAGAATAGGGAAATTAGTATGTGATGACAATTTAGCTAATCAATACAGTGATGAATAAGGAGGAGTACTATATTTGGTTCAATATAATTTTACTAGCAATAGCCTTTTGTACCAGTGCTGTAGCTAATGCAGCTAACTGAGATCTCCTTTTCTCTCACTTTGTATCCAGGCAAACATACACTCATGCAATCCTCTAATGTTCCTCTACAAAGAATTATAATATTAATATAATCAATTAATTAAAATCTCACTTATATATTCAGCAACTGATGTCTCTCCTACTTCACCAGCAGCAATAGCTAGTTTGTCCCATGTTGCTTCAGTATCAACTGTAAGCCATAATGCTAAAGATTCTCTAAGACATTGTTCAGCATCTCGTGGATAGTTAGTCTCAATAATCTTTAGATCATCATGAATCAGACTCAAGTAGAGACCAAGATCAAACCATTTGATAGTTTGAAAGTTACCATCTTTTAAAATTCGTAATATCTCAACCAGATCCCTAATAGTCAATAAAACTACAGTATTATAAGTAAAAAATAATTAATAAATAATAAGAAACCATGCAGTGCTACTTATACCTTTTTTTTGATCATAACTGGACTCACTGATCTTTGTGGCTGAGTAATCTGGAGTTGATATGACCTTTTCATTTGTTGGTTCTATATAATGACACAGTTCATTTGTGGAGTGTGAAAGCGTATTAATATACAACAATTACAATTTACTCTCACACTACATGTACATATCATAACATACCTAGCTCCATTGTAGTTATTGTGTTGGATTCTTCACTTATTTCAATCAATTCCTATAAAAATAATAATAATAATCACTCAAGGTCATCATAATATAGTGTATTGCTGAAAGGTCAGTTTAACAGTATAATATTAGTAACATATAAAAGCCACACAATGACAAGCCACAATTATGACAAGATTGCATGAGTGATATGATAAAGGAGGGTTTGCAGTCACCACAAACTGAACTCAAAATTGGCTACCGTAATTTCTCTAAAAATTTATCATTACTGTTTTGGGGCATGAGGTAATTTTCAGAACAAAATTTTATACATCAAACAGAAATAAATGAGCCAAAATAATTATTTTTGATGAATTCAGAGGCAGCAAGGTGGTGTGTGAGTGCATCATGAAAGTCTGCCAAGTCACTGCTTACCTGCCACTCCATTGACAGTTAAAATGAATAATAGAGAATCCTGACAAAATTAGAACACGTGGTACAGATACACATGTACTTTGTAACAAATAATTAGACTACTTGAGGTACTATTTCTCCCAAATAATTATTTTTTTTCGAAATTAGAGTGTCAAATTTTTAGAGAAATTACAGTAATTTTGTGTCAGCTTTATTTGCATCAAAAGGTGAGAAAGCCCATCTTTGCTGTAAACCAGGCTTAAGAACTTTGTATAGACCACCCTAGGCGAGAATTGAATGCGTAGGAAGATTATTAGAAATTTTTACGGTTGTAAGGCGTGGTTTAGGATGAAATAAATTCCAGCCGCCATTTTGGTTGGCAACTTTCAATGGAGAACAAACAGGCCGACATAAAAACAAACCTGTATTAAGATTTCTGGAGCAAATTTGACCAAATCCTTGACAGGAGAAGCTTAGAGGTAGCTGTTCTTTCTTATAACAAGCGATTTTTAGCTATTGATAGAGCTACAGCAGGTAAGTGAGGCATTTTCTTCGTGCCTCCATTGACTTCCATAATAAACTTGCCAGCCAAAATGGGAGCCAATTATGATGTGTGGGCGGGTACTGTATATAAAATTAATGAAATTCATAACTTTTCCAATTCACGCCTAGGGTGGTCTATAATGTATGACCTTTTTTGTGTGTGTGTGTTAATCATTTTCTTACCTTAATATCACATCCCTCTGACAGGATATTAATATCTGATAAAGATTCATCAACAAGGATCTCTTTCAAATCTGTATGTATAGTACCGGTAGCATTCACTAATAACTCTTCTCCCTTTTCAATAGCAAACAGTACATCTTTTACACTATGCGCTGTCCTTTCTCTTGGTGTATTCACAGGATAGGCTAGTTCTTTAGGATCAATAACTAAGATAATAGACAAGATTCAATAGATAATCATGCAGTACTAATATACCTTAGGGTGGGTATTAATTGTGCTCTTGAATTTTAAGGGACTGTGATTTAGTGAAATGAAATATTCACCAAATTAAAATTCGCCAATTACCAAAATTTAGAAATTTGCCAAATTCAACTCCCTCCAAAATTTCCTTCTTCAGTTCTGTTAATCTCACTCTCATTATTGGTTTCAACATCAGAATGTTCAGGCTCTATAGGAAACTGACAATTGGCCTCTATGCCATCTCCTGTGGCAAAATGAAAAAGAAAGATTGTGAAAAATAATTCAGTTGAATATGTGAGAGACCAATAAGGCTACATTCACATAGCAACAAAAATGATGTACAAATGCCTATTTACAATGTATATTTAAGGTGCTAATTCATGCTCACATTACAGTAAGTAAACATTGTTTTGCTGTATCATCATTGCTGATGTTGCCAAGTAATAAAAACACAAACAACAATCAACACATTATTAGCACATCACTGGTAAACAGAACAACAACACAGATAGTGTACTTCTTATAGGAGCGGCGACAGGATAGCTGCGAATCTCAACATCACTCTCACAAGCTTTAGGACATTCATCTATAAAAGAGAACAAGTAACTCAACTATAGTAAGTAACTAGCTACAATGGGTTTCATTCGTCTTCCAAGCTCTAAAATGACCCACAAAATTACAGAAACAGATGGAGTAGACAGGCAAAGTTAAAAATATAACCCACAAACTTGGATTCCCTCCCTCCCCAAAGTTTGAATCAACAAAAGAAACCGTCCTATATATACATCATAAAATGCAAGAAAAAATGTAGGTGTATATACATGTAGGTAGCCGAGTATAACAAGTTTTACCTTTTAATGGTGGTACATGTGGTAAGAGGCTCTTCCATTCCTGTACCTTAAGCTGATGACACTTGCAATACTCTCTTAGCTTTACATGATAGAGACTGCAACCGACAACTTCCAGCCAAGCAAAAAGATTATCAAATGAGTCTGGGGTGAGAGAGTTTTGTTCTAAGAGGAGCTATAACAGGTGAGTCCGTGATGTGATGTTTAACGGATCGTAATGAGGTAAAAAAGTATGCCTCGCCAACTCTTTCAATGAAAGGTATTTCTTTTCATCTAAGCAGTGTAAAATACAAGAGACAGTTACAATGAAATCCATCATTCTTAGATCATGGACTCCGCCTACTATCTCTGTCTCTTCAGAGCTACTGTGTTTTTCTCAAGAAGCGTGTATACTGAAGTGAGAAGGTTGTTCTGGTCAAGGTCTTGCTGTCCTATTCCAAAAGCGTGTTTAGCCACTAGCTTGATGACATCCAGTTTATTTGGACTGACTGCATCGTTGAGTTTGACTAACTTCAGTGACTTGGTGGGAAAATTCTTGCTCTCAGCTTTTAACAAAGCCATGAAGAGAAACCAAGGAGGAGACGGCAGAGATACAAGACTTTGCTGAATTCAAAATTTATCAATAGTTATTAACAAATTAATTAATGGTTATTAACTAATGTGAACGGGTTAATTTTGCAATCAGTGTATATGCACTATAGTTCCTAGTAGACAGTAGAGGGTCTTTGAAACTTCGATCAGAACTCGTAACTTTTACACAGCATAAAAACATAATAAGTGGACCCTAGGCTATATTTTTATGAATTACAGAGATTTTATTTTAGGGCTTTTCACACTGGCAAAACTTAGTAATAAAGTGAATTGATGCACATCAGTTAATTGTGTTCACAGTTCACACTAGAGTTGTTTCAAATTAATGCACATCAATGCATCTCACTCTCACTTCACCTCACTCTCACTTCACCTCCAGAGGTGGATTGATGTGAAGTGATGCGCAACAAGAACACAAAATGATACATAATTCAGCTTCTAGTGTGAACAAGATCAATGCGCATTATTTCAGCTGTATCAGCAAAGCACTTTAGAAACTGTGCCAGTGTGAAAAGGTCTTTTGTTAGCATAAAATTTCACAAACCTGTCAGGTTTACTGTCTGCAGACAACAGCAGAAATTAAATATTGCTCAGGACAAAATTCACTTAAATAAACAAAAACAAGTTGCTTTTAAATTCTAATAAAGCCTACACACAATTAGAAATATCTTAATATTTTAAAGTATGATTTAGTAACAATCTATCCAAATTTATCACAGGTGTATTAAAGCTCTTAATTTTGTTGATCCTATTAAAGATCAATAATAGCTATTATAATTAATTGCAATCTCACTTGATATTTAGCAACTGATGTCTCCTACTTCACCAGCAGCAATAGCTAATTTGTCCCATTTGCTTCAATATCATTTCTGAGCCACAATGTTAAACACTTTCTGAGGCATCGCTCAGCATCTCGTGAATAGTTAAACTCAAAACCATAAGAGTAGGGCTTAATTAAATTAATACACACATCAACAACAATATCATAATTATCATGCATACACAATGAGCATCAATTGATAACAAACTGTAAACATATTAACAATGAACTCACCTCTCAGTAGCAGGGAAGCTTTTAGGACAAGACCGAGGATGAGTGTTGTATTTACTCTCACCAACATTAAGATATTTCTCTATATATAACAGTAATAATTGTAAGTGTAACAATACTAGGTTCAACAAATTTTATACCTTTTAATGGTGCTACAAGGTTTTCGATTCAGGCACCTCAACCTGATGACATTAGTAATACTCTTTAGGTTGTTATGATACAAACTGCAACCAAAAACTTCCAGCCATACAAAAAGGTATAGCAGAAAAAGTTTGGCGTGAGAGAGTTTTCTTCCAAAAGAAGCTGCAGCAGGTGAGTCCTTGATGTGATGTTTAAAGAATTAAAATGAGGCAAAAAAGAACATGCCTTGCCATCTCCTTTAAAGAAAGATATTTTTTGCTATTTAAACTCAACAAGACACAGGAGACAATTAGAATAAAATCCCTTGTTCTCAGATTGCTCTCAATAACTATCTCATTCTGTTCATGTTTAGCCACTAGCTTAATGACATCTAGTTTCCTTGGACTGACTTGGCAGGCAATTCCTTGTTCTCAGCTTTTGACAAAGCCATAAAGAGACAGCTAGGCCCGGAGACAGCTGAAGAAATAACCATAATTTAACTATTTTTAATCTCAAAATTAATACAATTTAAGTTTCTCTCCTATAATACTAGCCGCCATATACCCAGGAGTAGATAAGATAATATGTACATAATAATACTATACAATAATACTAATCTTTCACACCACAGTTGCCACTAGTCTCACCACCCCACCCATGCATGCCAGCAATGAAGAGGCTATTGGTATTTTGTATATGTGTATTATATATCATACTAAACAGGTATATACAAAAATATAGACCTGAGGTGGGTGTCCAAGGATGTGATATAGCCCGAGGGCTATATTACATCCAAGAACACCCACCAAAGGTCTATATCTTTTGTATATAGACCAGTTTTAGTATGTTATGTAAGATATATTTCATAGTGATGACAGCATTTCTAAATAGCATAGGTGTGACAAAACCAGTTAACAATGATGAAAAATTAACATTACTAAAAGTGTGAACATGCAAAAGTAGACTGATGTGCATGGCACACTGACATAGATCAACATTTAAAAGTCAAGTCTGTATATATTGTCATGATATAGTTTGCCTTTCGTTTATCTGTTATACCAGGTGGCAAATAGTGTTGTTCTAGTTCTTTTATACTAGAACTAAATAATTATTGTTCTGCTTAGTTCTAGTTCTAATAACTAGAACTAGAACTAGAACTAATTTTTTGTAGCTGAAATACTAGAACTAAAATTACTTATTTGAAGAACTAGAACTAATACTAGAACTAAAATTATTAATTAAAAGTACTAGAACTCTATACTAGAACTAAAATTATTAATCCCGAAATACTAGAACTAATATTGGAACTACAATTATTGAACCTCCTTAAAACTAGAACTAATACTAGAATTGAAAATATTGGTTACAAACTACTACCATAAACAGGTGAACATGTTTTTAGGCAAAGCCTATAGCTGTTACATTTTTATATAAACTGTACCTGTGACATTTCGATCATTTTATTGGCAGCAGTAAAACTTATTACTTTGTGTATATATTGCATTTGATGTACATTTGAAACATAACTCAGCAATATAACAAAAAGATTTTAGTTAAGAGCTACTACTAGTATTTAAATTACTCCAATTTTAGCATGACTTAACTGGAACATAAGTATTGGAGGCTTTAGTTCTAAATTAATACTAGAACAAAAATTACTATAATTTTAGTTAAAAGAACTATAACTAGAACTAAGATTACAGTATTTCTAGTCAAAAAACTAGAACTAGAACTAAAATCACTGTATTTTTAGTCAAAAAACTAGAACTAGAACTAAAATTTTTGTATTTATTGTCAGAGAACTAGAACTAGAACTAAAATTGTTGTATTTCTTGTCAAAGAACTAGGACTAAAACTAAAATTAATATATTTTTAGTTAAAAACTAGAACTAGAACTAAAATAATAGTATTTTTAGTCAAAAAACTAGAATTAGAACTAAAATACAATTCCATACTAGAACAACACTAGTGGCAAATAAGCTTGAATATGACACAAGCAGCTATAACAAAACATATAACTCCCGGAAGTATATCTGCATTAAACAAAAATCATTAGGTCAAATGATAATGTTAACTTACACTCCCACTTCTTCCACCATGGTATCTTATTCATTGTACTAGTGGGATCTTGATCAATATATGTATCTAAAGATATATATCACACGATTAACCATAGTCGTTTGATACTAACTTAAAAGACAGGTAGGCTCATAGAAAAATATATTTCGCTATAATATTATAGGTGAGCAAACAGGACAATGCTAATAATAGCTTTTAAAGGGTAAGTCCAGTGTATTTTTGGTGAATTTTTTTTATTGGGTTAATATGATTGCCTGACCATAATAATGATGTATTCCAACTCCCATTGTCTAAAAAAAATTTTTCACTGAGATATGAGCCTTCAAAAATGCTCATTTTTATTACTTCCTGCCGGTGGGTGTGGCTAAACGTGACGTCACTAGAGGCATAGATGCAGATAACTCCATTCCTTTATAGGGGGAAATAATCCTTTATTCTCATGTCTAGTAATGTAATATCACTAATTTAAAGATTGGGATCACTAGCTTTCATTATTCCAAGCATGCAACTGCAAGAAAATGTCATAATATTACAAGTAGGCAAATTTTCTTGTTTGCTATTTTGAGTCTTTTTCTTGCAGTTGCATGCTTGGGCTGGCTTTGCCATTCTCCTCCACG